AAGAAAAGAACAATGCATCGTGGAGCTCGGCCACATCCTCTCAGACAAAGGTTTTCCTTTGGTGATCTCCGGAAGGAACAAACGAATTTCAACGAGGAGGCAGGAGAAGGCAGATGAAGCGGTAAAATGTTTGGAGGAACAGGAAGCGGAGGTGGAAGGAAATCTAAGGTACGAGATTTTCCAATTTCCTAACATAGTTGTGTGTGGGCAAGGGCGAGAGACTAGGGAGGAATGCACGGGTCCAGGCATGAGCCACTAACCCCCGGCTGCCACTGGCAGACTTGATCCAGGCCCGGGGTGGCTATAGTAACTCCGTCATTTGGGTGTGTGTGGTTGCAGAGACGCAGGGCAGTTGCTTCCTCTCATGGTCATATCTAATCTATATTACGGAGCACTCTGCCTCATCAGATTACGAATCTACTTGCTCAAACGGTGATCATGAACCACCAAGGAAGCCAGACCTAAAGAGCTTCGGTTGACAGGAACGCCAGGGCAGACGAGTAAGGCACGGACGAGTGGATAAGATGGTGCCTTGCGATGATGATTCTTTCAACCACATGACAAATTTCTCGCATCTCCGAGATGCTGTCATGACTCTGAGAAGGTTTCTGTGGAAGCTCCAAACCGCTGATGACGAGGGCGTGCCACAGATCGAGCCGTCTCTACCCGTCGAGAGAAGTAGCACCTTGCAATTCTCCGCGGCTCTGACCGTCTATACCAAGATGACACACTGTGCTTGCGGATGGCGAGAATGTCGGTCGGTCCTATCGGTTGAAGAACGTGTGGGGGTCTTGTGGGATTTCTTGCTGGTGTCCGTGGAAACTCCCGCTTACAGGTAGATACCTATTTGAACGGCAATAGCGTAGACTTTCAAAAGATCAACACTGTCATGGCAGGCATCATTGTCGTAGACGCGAGTGTCTTTATGTGATGGTCTCCAGGCAACTGATCTGAGTGAGAAGGTTCGGATAGATGGAGACATCCGCAGGCGAGTTATAAACCAAGGGGTTCTTTCCGAGATAAAGCAACACCGCCATCGTTCAGAATTTTACAAACACCAGGTCCATGCCCGGACAAGCAGCTTGCCGATGGCAAAGTAGTCGGGTGCAACGACGGGCACGCCATTCCTCAGCAGCCTGGTGCCCGGACGAGAAATCACAATCTGAAGGAAGGTACACCCAGAATCGAGCAGGAGGATCAGGGCATATGGTGGGTATTGGTCCGATGAATTGTGGCCAGCAAATTTTCGTCGAAGGGTCAAACTCGGTCCCGCTATAATAAGCCTGCGGAGCATTGACAGTGCCAAAGAGTGTCGCTTGCTGCAGCTGTCACATTATCACCAACATGGAACAGAAGAGATTGAAATGCCCTGCTCTTGGAATGCCATGGTCTCGAGAAAGGTTCGTTCTTGAAGGCGGGAGAGCCTATTTTTATTCTAAAGATTGAGGTCCATACGAATATACAAATCGAGAAGTTATCCAACCAAACCTTCCCGTCCCATCATCTCACACATCTCACTATGCCCTCGTTCCACGCCCCGTGCTAGCAATGGCGTTCTTGAATCTCTCCTTCCACAGGCGAACCTCCTTCTTCTCCTTGGGAATACCATCCTCCCCAAACATCCACACCGTATAATCCCTTCCGGCAACATACACCAGTGTTTTGCCATCTCCACTCAGCCACTCAGCTTTCATCGCATCTGTGCCTGCTTGCCGGGCATCCCCGCCAGCCTCGAAAGCATGTGCCATACCATGGAGAGACTGTGCGCGCGGCCGAATCTCGCCATCCTCACTCACAAAGGTCATATTCCCCTCTGCTGGAGTGATAGTGTTGGATGGTTGCTTGATCAGGCGTACCGGCATCGGGTTCCCCGGTTGTAAGGTCGCCTCGTTGCCCTCGTCTGCATCACACGGCTTCAAAAGTGCGACGACGGGTTTAAGACCATTTTGGTCCTCTCCAGCCACCCTGACAGCCAGCAAGCCATCCCAGAGATGCGCAGCAGGCGTTCGTTGATATGATGCGTGGTGAACAAGCGCGCTGAACTCCGAGGTGTGGACGTTGAAGCAGACAGACACTATGCTCCCCCTATGCCCAGCATCACACATCGGCTCCTCCCCAACCCAAGCTGTCATGAGAACATATCCCCCACGCCCATCACATCTATCAGTCCGCAGATAATGCACCGCATTATCAGTCCTCGATCTCACCATCCCCCGATACGCAAGATGTTCACGCGGGCATACCATCCGTGCCCTCATGCACCCTTCATAAAACTCACTCACCACCAAATCAACCTCATCCCACGTCACCACAAAAATCACCCTCCAGTCGTTCGGATGCAGAATGAAATCAACCTTGACATCCGTATCCTGAAACCTCAACCCCCACTTCGGCGCCGGCCTCGGGTACCCTTGCACAATCTGCCCACCCATCCTCACCGGCCCAGGCACATACCTAGGTTCATCCCCCGCCACATCAATCTCCCTCACCCCTTGTTCACCTGCCCACTCCCACAGCCAAACCTCGGCGTTCCTCCGCCCAACGAACAACAACCTCTCCCCATCCACAACACACCTGTCAAACCCCCCCGGCAGCTCCACAAACTTCATCTCATCCCTCTCCAAATGCCACACACACACCCCCGCGTCCTCCTGCCCAAGAACAAACAACTTCTCCCCCAACGCAGTCTTCCACCCCCGTCTCCGATCCTCCCCCCTGAGCTCAGCCTGCCCAGGAAAGAGAAACATCCTCCTCACTCTAGCCCTCAAATCATCCACCACCGCAAAGTAAGGTAAATGCCACGCCTCAGGCCACCAGGCAATCCTCCCATGGCTGTAAAGTCTCACGTGAGTTACATGCAGCTCTTCCGACAATGGATCAAGACCGGGGACCTCAGCAAGGGAGTGCACACCCCCCGACTCGACCGAGACCTGCTTTGAAAGAGTAAAAGAACCATCATTTACACGCACGACGTGGTGTCGAGCGTGGGAAAAGAGCCCGGACTGGTAGAGGTGGTGGAGGTTCAACGCGGACTGGAATACCTTGGCCTGGGCATGGAGGTTGACTGAACAATTTCTCTCGCGGATGTGGGTGGTGAGGCCTGGCGCCAGGCGGTCGGCGATGGAGGGCCATATCTCTGGAGAGAGGAGAATGTCACGCCAGTTGCGACAGACGTGGAGGGCCGAGATGATGTCGCTGGAGGTGTTGAGTTGTTCGAGGACGAGGATGATGAGTTCGGTCGGGAGATGAGCAAAAAGGTCTTGGGTATCAGTGAGAATCTGAACTGGCGGCTTGCGGCGGGATGGGAAAAGCGACTTCATGGTGGGTGAATGGATGGTTGGTGATGTGAAGTTGAGATGAGGAACAGAATAGCGCGTTCGTGGAAATGAATGGCCCCTGAGTCGATCACGTGGTGTGGCCGCCTTTGGAGGGGTGGGGTGCTGCTTGTTTTCTAGGCACTACTCGGCGATTACCTAGGTTCCAACAAAGAACAAGCAATCCAAAACATCACGAAAGGCAGTGGAAGGATCTAGAGGGCCAAGTGAATGATAGTAGTCGATTATACATGATGCTCCTACTTTCTAACACAATACCCCAAAATCATCCTGTCCTCCTCTTGTACATGTACACGCCACTTCCGCGAGGCAAGCTGGCTTCCCCTTCCCACACCACCTCGGACCTGACTAGTGTACCGAGGGACCCACAACTTTGGCTGGGACTCTTTGATCAGCCCCTTCCTGGCCCCCAGGCGATGGAGGTCGATCCCGCTGCTCCGAGGCGTCCACAGCTCGAGGGTGTGCGTCAAGCACCGGAGGACATTGTGAGTTGCGATGGGTTCAGCAATGCAACGATGGCCGGGAAAATGCTTGCTTCTCCATCCGCGGCATGATCTGGTTGATGTCGCTCTTTTGAATGATGATCTCCTGGAAACACGAGGGGCAAATCATTGTCTGTCGTGGTCTGGAGACAGGCTAGTCGTCAGCATCTTCCTTTCCGTCGAGGAGATAGTACAGGAATGTCTCACCTCGGCACTGCAAATAGCAGGTTCACGAACGACGGATGCTGAGAGAGTGCCCGGATCAAGAACTTGAGGCTTGTGGCATGTTGCGTTGTTGATGTAGAAGAGGAGAGAGAGGAAGACGAGTAGGTTGAGTGGGACAAAGGTGCGAGGGAAAGGGTGCGAGGGGTGGTTGCAATTTTGTGGGGAAAGCAATGGAATGCCCTAGTGTAATCGGTGACTGACCTTCTTTCCTACCCTAGTAGGTACGTACCTAGGGCTTGCAAGAAAGGCAGATGCACGTCCGGGTCATCCAGCTTGCTCTCGGCTCTCGGCGAGTGCTCTCTGCTTGCCAGTGGTCAAGCCCATTTGGTCTTCACACTGTGCGAAGCCCGCTCAAGGGGCAAGCATGAGCTCCGGCACCGTGGTTAGACTAGGCAGGTCCTGCTTATTGCTCAGTCGGACTGCTAGGAGGTGGTTGATGGTCATAAGAGTGAACAAGCTCTCATGGACTGGCAGTCTGGTTATCACACTTGAGCCCCCTCGCTTCATGAGTTCTCGATTTGTAAATGTTGAAATAATGCCGTGCCGAGGTCATGTCATGAAGCCATGCCAAATCCTATATATGATGTTTCATAACTTTCAGAAGCAAGAGCTTATAAACATATTTCTTGGTATAAAGCTTCACAGCTTGCGATATCATGCCTGAGGTAAATTCTTTCTCTAGGTAAATGATAGCTGATGACAAATCTACCTGCAAAACATCTCACGTTAATGGCTACTCGTTGCTGTTTGTTATCCCTTCGCCCACCTCGTAGCATGAATTGAGTGATATGATTGGACAGCTCCGTTTCATTGACGACAAATAGTTCGGCAATTGATTCACTATCCCCGCTCAGCGGCGATTCAGGGGCCCCACAGCGTCTCAAGCGTCATCTCACCCGCCACACATCATCGTTGTTCCTCCATCCATTCATCGCCATCACCGTCATCAGCAACAAAAATGGCAGACAACATGTACGAAAAGCTGGAGACAGCGTCTGCAAAGACGCGCGAAGCCATGGCCGACAGACAGCATCTGTCTCCCCCTCCAACACACGCGCGCCAAAATAGAATGCGCATCGCCACCAGGGAGACTTCGTGTTGGTATATTCTCTGGGGTTTCGTCCTGGCCTTGTGCGGTCTCTCAATTCTGGTGGACCGCCCACTCCTATTTGTTTTCCTCCGTGAGCCCGATTTCAAGGATCAATGCACCCAACCAGAACCGCACTTCCCTGCCAAAAACGAAGACCTCGACAAGCTCGTTGACATCATCGAGGGCGACGCGTTCAGGAACGCCAGCGTTGACCGTCTTTCCCGCGCTGTCCAGATAAAGACAGAATCTTTCGATGACATGGGTGAAGTTGGTCGGGATCCAAGATGGGAAGTGTTCTTCAAGTTTCATGGCTTTCTGGCCCTGACCTTCCCATTGATCCACGAGAAACTGCAGGTTGAAAAGGTCAACACTCATGGTCTGCTGTACACATGGAAGGGCAGTGACGATAGCCTGAAACCCACGCTTTTGATGGCCCATCAGGATACCGTACCCGTGCCACCAGAGACGATCGGATCATGGACCCACCCGCCCTGGTAGGCTTGGCCAAGGGAAAACATCAATCCAATTGCTAACATTTTGTAGGAGCGGTGCCTATGATGGCAAATACGTCTGGGGCCGTGGGGCTGCTGACTGCAAGAACACCCTCATCGCGTTGCTGGAAACCCTTCAACTCCTTTTAGAAGCCAATTTTCAACCCAAACGCACGATTATCCTGTCCTTTGGCTTTGACGAAGAGGTATCCGGGAGACGAGGAGCATCGGCCCTTTCTGCCTTCCTTCAGGAGAGATACGGCAAGGATGGTGTCGCTGTCATTGTTGACGAAGGCGCCGGCTTCGAAGAGACATGGGGCACCCTCTTTGCGAAGCCCGGAACAGCCGAGAAAGGCTACGTCGACGTCAAAATCACCGTCCGAATGCCAGGTGGCCACTCCTCCATCCCTTCCGACCACACGAGCATCGGCGTTCTCAGCGAGCTCATCACCAAGATCGAGTCCGAACAGTACCCAACACGCCTAGTCGAGGAGAACCCCTACTACTCGCAGCTGCAGTGCGGCGCCGGCTACTCGGATAACTTCCCAAAGAAACTCAAGAAGCTCCTGGCGGACAACGCATTCAAAAAGCCTTCCTTTTTCCTTACCTGTAGGAACAAGCCCGACCGTCTCGCGCTCGAAGCCGCCAAGCAAGGCCCAGCAATCAAGTACCTGATGCAAACCTCCCAAGCAGTGGACGTCATCTCGGGCGGCATTAAAACCAACGCTCTGCCCGAGCGCGCTACGGTAACAGTCAACCACCGTATCAATATCGGCGAGACCACAAAGATTGTTACGGACCGTCTCACCTCTATTGGTGACGAGATCGCAAAGAAATACAACCTCACCCTTCACGCCTTTGATGACTCGCAAGAGGAGCCCAACTCGATCCACCTCTCGTCAACGGTGAACAAACTGGAGGTAGCCCCCATCACCCCAGCAGACGGCTCAACAAACAGCCCTTTCACAACACTAGCCGGCACGGTTCGTGCCGTCTACGGCAAGAACGTCATTGTTACCCCTGGGATCATGACAGGCAACACCGACACGAGGTTTTATTGGAATTTGACGAGGCACATCTTTCGATTTGCGCCCGGCTACGACGCTGATGACGAGGTGGGACTGGGAAAGATTCATACTGTGGATGAAAGAGTCAGTGTGTTGAATCATGTCCATACTGTGAGGTGGTTTGTGACGTTTGTGCGAAATATGGACGAGGCAAGGTTTGATACGGATGGTGGTTCCGGGAAGAGTGATGATTTGGGGGTTGGGTCTGATTAGTTGTCACCGCGATGGCGTTCGGATCTCTCTGATGGGGTTAAGATATCTATTATTGGGTTGCTGGATGGTCCTTAAGTATTATAGTGGAGGGGATAATATTTACCATGAAGGGGGATGTGGATGTGGTTAGGTGTATCTATCAGAGAACCTTTACTGAGCCCTCTATTTATTTATCCAACCAACGCCCCCTTTATAATGAATTTAACCATATTTCGAAGAACAATTGTTATGCGCTGAAAATATGTAATAACCCTAAAAAACAATTAAAAGGCCCTTGAAGATAGTTCAAAGCCTTTAAAAGATAGTTTAAAGGCCTTAGCGGATAATTTATAGGCTTATTAATTTCCCTTTAAGGTCTCTTATAGGCAGGGCAAGTAAATAGGTATGGAGGGGGCACTGGTAAGATAAGTAAAGGGGCTCCGCAAAGGTTTTCTCGTCCCTGTTACCTTGGAATTCAGACGTTGCTGACCTTTTGAGTTACCAAGGGGCAGAAGCAGTTCGGTGCTATTTCAACTTGAATTACCTACTATCTCAGAATACAATCTATCTCGATCAAATCCGCAAACTCCAAACTCCAGGTACCCAAAAAGACCAAGCCAAAGAATAATCCACCTTTACCTACCTACCCATGTCGTGCGCGGCGCCCATGCCCGGACTTTGATGTAAGCCGGGTTTGCAGCAGTTCGCATAATGTCACGAAGAGCAGAGGAGCTGATCCTATGCAGAGGCATGTCGTTGATCGCTGCCATGAGGGGCGTATAGTCACCGCGATATTGAAGTCTGTCCTTCCATGTCTTTCTCTGTGCGGTGCCCTCCATCTGTGTGCGATTGGTGCAGTTTTGCGACGGTCCGGTCAGATCGACGGGAAAAGTAAAGTCTTTCCAGTCCGAAGATGATGATTAGTATCAGGATGAGGAGTAAAGGGGGTGGAGGGAGACTCACTCAGCCCTAAGCAGTCATGCATCCCAGCCTCGCTCACGGCGCGACCTGTATTCTGCGTCGTGAAGACCCCAACCATGTCACCAACCTGGCGGGTACCGCGCGGGTTTCTCGGGTTGAAGTAGGCCTGGATCCTGCAGCGAAGCAACTTTCCTTCCCAGAAGTTCCCTGACTCTCCTTCCTGCCGGACTGGGCCGAGAGGATAGCGAATGCTGTCGGGCGTGTCTCGGCCGTCATCTCCAGTAAGGAACCCGACAAAGGTGTGGATCAGCTCGTGTGCAACGGACAGGCCCATGAGGAACAAGAAGCCTCGGAGCTCGTTGGCGTTGTTCTCTCCGGCTGTGTGGAGTGCGTTGTCGATGATCTGAACGATGGGGTTAGTGGATGCTCGTGCTATTTGTAAAGTTGATAGGTAAGTGGACATAAGGCGAAGACGCACCATTTTGTTTAGTCGGAAAAACACCGCCATCTTGGCGGTGTAGTCGGCTTCTATAAGCACATTGATCCACTGCAAGCGAATAGTTTCACCTTCGCCTTCTATCCGGTCACTGACGATGACGGTAGGGGGGTCAGCCCGGATTTTGGTGAGGTACCGGTCCACAGACGCTGCCATGAGCTGACGGTGGAGCGTTCCGTGTTGGAGAGACTAGTTGCTTCTCCAAATGATCGTTCTGTGATCCTGGATTTGACCAGAGGTTTTATGTCGTGTTATGTATCTCCTTGTCAAAGACTCTGGGCTAGATTGGTCTGTGTCAAAACGATGCAATAATCAGGCTCTCCCGGCATCGCCGATACCAAACTCTGTGCCCTCCTTTGTAGTTCCAACTTCTAACCGAGCCTTCTGTTGTGGAAACTTCAAGAAGATCATGCCCACCCGGGCCACCACCTCCTCTTCGGCTGCGCCTCCTGCTCCGACCCCCTCCGCCCGCGCTGCTTGGGCAACGGTGCGTGGTGAGATTCCGACCTGGTGCCGAGACGAACTGTCTCGCAGCGGGGGAGACTTCGATCTCCCCGTTTTAGATTTCATCTTCGACCAGGTCATCCGGTACACTCGCGGGGAGGACACGGACTTCCGAGAAGTCCAAGAGATCACCGCCGAGGAGCGCGAGCTTCTCGATGAGGTGGCCGCGACGGTGGCAAAGATGAGTAAGTGGCCTCTTTTTCTACATCACCACGGAGTATTTTGTTCCCCTGTACAATGCGTTGTTTCGTGAGCCCACCACTTCCTAGCCGTTGGAATCGTCTTGTCAAACTGGAGCTACTCCACTATTCTTTCTTTCCTGCCATCTCGACAGACACTGACTACCTGACCTTTTACTTGCAGCACTCGTTTATTACAATCTTTTGCCCCCGTCTACCCCTGCCCGCCAGCAACGGCCGAGTCCGGTCCGCCCCGACCCGCCGTCTGTCCGTGTCTCCTCGCCTTTCCTGGGTATGACCCGGGAGTTTCTGGAACATCCGAGCAGTCCCTGCAGTCAATGGAGAGGTGATTGCACACTGTGGCATTTATGATGGGCAATACTGAGCTTCCGGCGTTTTGGACTCGACTTGCTTGCACAGTGCGGTGTTTATGATGGGCAATACTGAGAACCGGGCGTTTTTCGGACGCAACATCACGAGGCGAGTCAGTGGCATGAAGAATCGCATGTTGGAATGTTCGCTTCATTCTATCACATTCCTGATCGGAGGACCAAATCAACCCTTCCGCTTACAGCCCTTCTTCGATGGGGTGCCTCCCCAATCTTGCTGTTCATTCTTACTAGCCGTGACCAGATAGCGTTGGCGAGGCTGTGCACGTGCCACCCCCTTTTCCGTTCTCCTTTTCTAGGCTTGGCGGGCAGCTGAGGTTGATACATTACCGACACAAGACGCTGTAAGTGTAGAAACCTGTGAAGGGGAAGAGGGACTGGGGTAGATCCCAGGTGATTGGATGCAATAGGAGTAATATCATCGTCAAGGGTGATGTTCCTTTTCGGTGTTGTTTTCGACTAGGTCTTGGCAGGCTCGTTCTCTGCTGTCCACGATATGCTTTCTCTGGAGTAATCGAGGTCTCTTCAGGTATGGTGGGAGTTTGAGTTATTATCCACCTTCGAGCCTGTAGCATCTCAAATTCTATCAAACGTATTTGGAGCCTATTCTGGGAAATCCTCAAGTTTGCCGGCACCCAGAGACTACTACCATGCCTTCTTTATTATGTGTAATTGCTTCCAGTCGAAATGCCTTCCTTTGAGGTATTTCAGAACCCGTTCATTGTGCACTTCCGACTTAGGAGGGAGCAACGAAGATGGACAATACTGGTGTTGTCCTTTTTGACCTAACGGGTGTTTGCCGCCCCGTGAAAAGCTCTGTTGTTGTTTATTTGGGATGGGTTGTTTTTTGATGCTTCCTCTATGTACTTCTTAACATCCATTCATGCAGACTTTGTAAAGTACCACCTATGTAAGAAGGAGACAGCAGTCTTTGGAGTCATCTTCTATACCAACAGCGTTGGTATAGCTTTCTAACTTCTGGATGAGGGGTAACAAGTCCTTAGCAACACTTAATTCACTTGTAACTAGATATCTTCAAACCTCAAACCAGGGTGAGAAGGAGCCTAGACTTTCAAACAGAAGCCCACCCATGAAGCAAGGAAAGTTGACATGGGGGAGCATTGGGGCAACTGAGCTGGGACTATTTCTATATCAAGATTGCTTCATTTCGTCGCTCGAAGATTTCGGACGGCGCTTGTCACTCACAAGAATGCACGGAGCCAATGGCCAATCGCTCAATCCTCAATCTCTGCTGGGCGTGTTAGCTTCAGTCCTAGCCACAATATTGGCCCAAGCAATGTGGTGGCCCGTCATCCTCGCGGCCAGCGCAGTCAAGTTCGGACCATGGGCTGGTGGGCACGGTTTCTGTTCCCAGATGAGGGCCAAAACCATCTGGAGTGGACTCAAGCCTAAGACAAGCAATCACTCATGCCACGCCTGTGAAGCACAAGGTCTTTCACACTCAGGAGCGGCCATTCCAGCCTCCACGAAAACGCCCATCCTAAACAGCGAGGGCTTCAATCTCACCGGCAAGAGAGTTCCAGTTGAACCAGGCGTCGCTGATGGATTGACTAGCAGCCCGGGCGGGTGCAGATGGAGAGTATCCCAGCTACTTTATCTGCCAGACATGCAAAACCACGGTTTGGGGCAGTGTGGGGGAAACCCCGTTCACCAACTCGAACCCTGGGAGAGTTTTGGGGGGAGGAAGAAGAAGGGCAGGAAAGGGGTGACAGGTGCGAACAAAAAGGCCGAGGAATACAAGATCGAGATCCATCTTGGAGATGCGGAGGTATAGAGTATAGGAGGTCATTCCGAGATCGGTGATAGATTGGTCAGTTCCTTTCTCTTTTCCTTCTACACTGCCGACATTTCTTTAAAGCTGGTGTTCAAGTAGGTCTCGGGTTACCTGGTCGAGGATGGGAATTGGGCGAGCGTCAGAGAGCGCGGAGGACGGCATCGCCACCTTCAACAAAGGGGTATCGGAACGTCCGGTTGTTTCTGTGGGTGCATCGGATGACCCGGACAAAGATGAAAACTAAATTGGGGACAGTGGACCCCTGTTGCGAGACGGTTCGTCTGGGCACTAGGCGCGATGAATGCGAGGAGGTTATGGGAAGGATTTGTTGAGTTGGAGAGACAGTGCCGGTGGCTCAGGTTGTGTTGGGCTTTCCCGTGCGAGCAGACCAACAAGCAGTACCACTGGGTCGGTATTGTATCCTGATGCCACGAAGGAAGAAAAGAGGACACAACACTGAGACGAAAGAGCGGGAGATATTGGAGAGGGGAGAATATCAAGCAGTAGGACTAGAAGCATGTGTACTTATCAATGTAAATACTTACAACAAGCTTAGGCATTTGTTCGTCCAGTTCACGGCTGTTTTTCCCATGTGGTGATCACTTCATGCCTGTCGCAAGAGCTCCAACAAAGTTCAGTTCAAATTTTGCCACCAGGCACAAGGAATGCTCAGCTCCCAAGGTCCTACATATGGTCTTGTCCGGGTATCCATCATCGGATACCATCTCTCACGAAATCACCAATCCTTCAGGCCTATCTCTACAACCATTTCCCAGAACCCTCCTGTAAAGCTGACTCTTCGATGTAAGTACAACAGCAGACAGCACATTTCACTTCAAGGCCTGGCTTCTCGTCCATTTTAGCATACTCCAGGGCCATGCTTACCAGTCAAGTAATTGAGTTTTTGGAACCCAGCCAATTGATTTGAATCCAGTAGCCGAACTCATGATATGGTCCGACAAAAAGAAGAGATATCTGAAAGAGCGTACAGTGAGATATTTATGCAGGAAGACCACGCAACCCCCTCCCTAGAGCCCTGGTCGCCATCCTGCCCAAGTGTAACCATTCAATACTACCCTGCTTTGCTCATCTGGCTGCTCCATTGGGCCTTGCGTAAGAACACTGCATCAATATCCGGCTCCGAAACCATCGAGACGCAGCTCGATCCACAGCTCGGCGCTGGGATCTCGTCCAGATACCACATGGATATCGTTCAACCTTCGGCAGCTCTTGTTCATGGGATGCTCAGCTTATAAGGCGGGATCTCGCTCAGTGGGTTTGATCGTCGCGTCTGCACTTATACAGCGAATGTGCTGATGCCATTTTGGGGATATAGAGAGACACCGTAGACATTGTGCTGTAGAATTCGGGGGTGGAGGCGGTCCAGGGCAGGGAGGCAAGAGACCTAGTGGCCCACATGGGCGGACCGTCAGAGCCGCGCAGGGAGTGGTATGACCGTTAATCTGGCCTGTTCCATAAGATGATCAGTGGTTGTCAAAAGGAATTAAACAGCATGTGGTGGATCAGCTCACCGCCACCGATTTGGCAGATCGGGATCGGAACAGTGGTGGTAACAACCTGGGGCTGTCCATCGGCCGAGGAGATTCCCGCTGTGGTGGACCAGGGAGGGGAGAACAAGCTAGGGGAGAACAAGCTAGGGGAGAACAAGCTAGGGGAGAACAAGCTCATGGGCGCGATTTTATGCTCTGAATGTTTGGCGTGATGATATGTTACCGGCCGATATGGTGGCCGATGATGATGGGGCCATGGCACGTTCCTTGTTGCTGTGTTTTGCTGTGACCGGCTACCGCCCGCGGCGTCCACGAACGAGACTGGCGGGGGTTTCAGCAGCGTGTTCAAGCACTTCCCAGGGCTTGCCAGCGAAACAACGATGTCGTGCACAAACGGAGGGTGGCGCTGGTGAACGCTAGAGGGTTGGCCAGCAAGTGATCAAGAAACGATTTTGCAGAATCATGAAAAATCTATAAAGGTGATACCTGTGCGTGGGTATATGGTGCAAGGCTACCGGGCTTTTAACCCTACCGGATTCCCAACAGGCAGGACCCTCCTGTACACCTGCCAACTCTTGAGAGTGAGGGGAAGAGATGGGCTCAGGCCCGGGCCCCCGAAGTTTCTTACACAGGCCGCAGCACCAGGCACCCACCCCCTTTTCCACCAGCCTTCCCCTGGACTTTTCTAGAAGCACACTTCCTCGTCCGTCAACCACCATCACCATCACCATCACCACCATCACCACCACTACCACCACCACTACTACTATTTATTCACACCACTACCACCACCACCACCGAATCACATCCCCTTTTGCCTGCTGTAAGCGTTTCCGCGGGCCTTGCTCTCTCTACCAATCGCTGATCAGACAATAGCCAGCCCAATCATCAACAAAATGCCCATCTTCGAAACCCAATTTCTCGCAGACCCCGACATGGCAAGGTGGTGGGTGATTGTTGCTGCGAGTACCTGGTTCCTCTACAACAAACGCTGTTTTCTCACCAATATCCTCTTCGACGAGGATTGGACCGGCCTTGAGGGGATGACGCCGGGCGACGAAGACCAGGATCAACCGGCGCTTTGGACCGTGCTGGCCTGAGCTTTGGCAAGGTACTCAATATCGAGGGTGGGATGATGCAAGGCAAGGAGAGGAGGACTTGTTCCTGGCTGGCTACCTGTAGGTATGGAAAATCACCCCTACTTTGGACCATGGGGCACTGACTGATCCCCCCTAAGAGGTACCACAGATCACACACGCCCAGAATGATGGCATTTCCCCTGGGCTACAACGAGGCGGCGCATCAGCGGGTATGTATTCTGGCTACAATGATCAGCACGGCGAATCAGTGGACCAGTGTGACGAGCATGCAGTGGACTGGCCTATCCTCGCGGCAAGCCGAACAGAATGTACCGGACCCTGTCATCCCATGGACCTCGCTGTCTCTACCAGTTTGGAACCCCACCGCATATGCGGTACATATACTATTGCTATCAAATGTAACACGGATCGTTGGCGTCATTACTGGTCACTCGCCTAGGCATATTGTATCCAGTCTTGTGCTTCCTATGTGCCTCGATACAAGTAAATAACCTGTATGGGTGCACGATTGACCGCGCGTTTCAACTTAAAATGGAGGCTATCATCAAGCTCGGAACTAAGCTGACGAATGGCAGTTCTTCAGGTTGGGACCAAGAATCGCACCGAACCCGGTAAAGCCGACTGAGGCTCAAATGACCTGTAGCATCAGCATGCGCCTCTTTCAGTCCCAAACATCGAGACGTGTTTTGGTGTTACACAAGAGAACGCCCGCTGACTTCAATACGCGCTTCGAGTTCTGACCACACCATTGGGTACCAGGTCAGTAGGTCCCTTCCTTCATAAGCAAATGTTCTTCAATTGGAAGGTCTCGCTTGTTTGACCTAGAAGAATCAACTAGTCGGTGAGCATTGTACGCAAATGCTTGCCGAATCCCGATTCATCGTCGATCACGACGAGATTGTTCCTGGTTTGCGCCTCCTCCGCAGTTGGTGAGACGCAACTGACCACGTCTATAGGCTTTCGTTGCCATGGGTTTTCGCAGGACCGAGATCACGACCTAGCCGAGATACCTTGACACACACCGAGATACACCCAAAGAAGCGTTTGTCATCGTCCTCACCGTGTTTCGATGGTTCATCGAGTCATGCTACCTTAGTCCCAGGTCCACGTTACTGGGATATCGTCCTAGCAGCAATGCTACCCGGTACGGGTGTGGGATAGAACCCAACAGCACCAAGCATTTCGCCACAGCGTAAGGCTGATGATGCAAAGCCGAGATGTCCGGTGTTCATCGACATGGAAGGGCGCGAAGGCATCACGAGCCAGCGGCCCTTACTAAGGCCTAGCAGAAGATACAGAAACGGCTTGAATGTTCACCGACATTCAAGCAGCCAACACAAGTATAAAGCCCACCTTCTCAGACAACACTCATCATCATCATCATCATCATCATCACCTCCTGCTCAAAACCACCTCCAACAGTCTTCTTCCCGACCAGATCCCTTTACAACCGCAAAAATGAAGTACACCACCGCCTCCGCCCTCCTCCTCCAAGCGACCACCGCCCTCGCCGGCCCCATCATTGAAGCCCGCCAGCAACCCCGCGCAGTCTTCACCCGCGTCGCGACCCAAACCGGCCAAGGCTGCGAAGGCTCCTTCATCTTCTACGACGACGCCAACCAAATCGCCACAGTCACCTACCCCAACTACGGTGTCACACTCCCCTCCGGCCCCCGCGAGGAGTCCTGCACCACCACCCTCCAAGTCAGCTTCCCGGTGGGGCAGTGCACAGCCGGCACCGCCCTCGGCACGACAACCGGGACGGTCTACCTCCCCAGCAACGGCATAACAGCCTTCTTCACCGCGCGCGACTACGCCATCCAGCCCACCATCGGGACCATCACCGACGTCAGCCCCAACGGGCAGTGGACCGGTGCCCGCTCGGCGGAGCCTTACGTTCTCCGGGACAGCATTAGCTATCGGCTCACTCCCCCCAACCCGCAGAACAGCTTGGTCAATTTTACTGTGTTTGGGGACTTGAGCCTGCAGCCAGAGAATGCGGGTGGGGGTTCGTTGACTGCGGAGCAGTTTGTTTTCGATATTCGGAATCAGTCTGCTTGTTGTGAGTATTATCCTTCCTTGACTCGTTTGAGCATTCATGGTAGCTGACAGGTAATACAGAAATTTGACTTTAATCATGGTGTTGTGAAGAAACGCCAGTGAAGCCACGAACTGGGAGGCGTTGAATGGAGGCGTGGTGGGTTGGGTGGAGGTAGCTAGGTATGGTGGAACACAAACTTCAGCCACTCGTTACAATTTTCATTTGCTACATATTCTAGACTTCTGTTTTGTTCAGTTCTCTAGATGTTGTCTTTTTGTCCTTTACGCTCTGACAGCACACGCAGTTTGGAGATTAGGTTATCAGTAGGTAGAAATAAACACCCCTTGCGCAAGGTACTCAGGTGGATGATTTTCTTGCGGTGATTCCACTCCCTAACTGCTGTCTGGAACCGGAGTGCTGCATTTTCCCTCGAGACCAAGTCAGAATACCAACCAATCTCGACCTTGGAGTGGGGATGTGATAGCTCAAACAGACTCAAGCCACTGGCATTACTAGACACCAGTCATTGTTGACTCCCGGAGATTTACACCGCTGTCACAAAAGACAATTCGCCAAGGGCATGCCACACCTAGACATTGATGCAAACGAGCAGACCAAGTTCCAAAGATAGTGTTCTTCCATCCTGTCCATTCTATGGTACAAAACGTGCAACAGAAATAATGTGAATACAAAAGTGAGCAGTTCCAACTCCCTTGGTTCGCCCACGCTCCTTGGGGATCTTCCCCCCCCCCCTCTCCATTGGTTTGTCCATGCTCCTTTGGAGCCCAGCCCCGTCGTCTTTGTTCCCAACATTGATACACCCTACTTATACCGTAGCAATGAGAAAAGAATGTGCTAAATACATGTAGGAATAAAACAGGTAAAAGTGAAAAGGAATACAAGATATAAAATAAAAAACAATAACGTACATTATAAGCGAGTCGCGCATATAAGCGAGTCGCGCACTCTCTACCACCCTATGAATACTATCCTCAATTACACCACATCAACACAAGGAATTAACTATAATTACATCAGAAACAGCTGAATCAAATGCTTCTGCAGCCTCCTGGCAAGTGCGCGCATTATGGCCAGGCTTGCCGCATACACCACAGCACTGAGTCTTCGTACGAGACCCCCCTGTACCACCACCACTTTGTCGATTTTCCTGGATTACCTGCTCGCCCACGGCCTTCCGATCCAGTAGATCCTGTGCCTCTTGTACAGTAAGTAACCCTTCAAGCCTCACACGTGTTTTTTTGGCTCTCCGGCGCTTACTTAGTGCCTCATTGGCCTTACGGAGCGAAGAGACCTCTGCACGAAGGAGAGCCACCTGGTGCATTATAGCCGTTGTACCCTTAGTAAGCTGGTCTACCGCAGCCAGCATTGAAGTCGGGGAGCTATTTTGATAGTTAGTAATGTGAGTCTTGATAAGCGTTGACTGTGAGTTGGCTTCTCGAGGGTTGTGTGGTGTCTGGGAGACCTAAGGTTGTGCAGTGCCGGGCCGTGAGTTTGGAGGTGTTAGCGTACGAAGCTTTATATCTAGCTTAGAAAGTACCCTCTCTAGATCGTACGGTATAAGGCCAGTACCCGTAAAGCCACCCTATATATTCTTCTCTATTATAGAGGCGAAGAAGGCCTCGCGGAAGGTATAGAGGAACTCGAGCTTACTTACGTGGTTAATATATATACGCATTAAGTCCTTAATCTGGTAGCCGTACGCCTGCTTTAATGGCCTAAAGTAGCCGACATCGAGTGGCTGGAGGTAGTGCGAAGAATGTAGAGGTATGTAGAGCGTAATAATATTATTTTACTAGCAGTAGCGCTCGAATTCGGTCGAGTAATAGCTTTCGTAACCATCGAGGATCAATAGCCGGTATTTGCCCTTTATGCGGGGCGTTGTATAATAATCGAAGTACTTAATCTAATCTAAGCCTATTATATTAGTAGTCCAGCTATTATCGGTGGTTGCGATACGCTAGGTAGACGGTAGGTTGCACTCGGTATACTAGTTAGTAAGGTAGTATTACGCGGCTAAAATAATAAACGGAGGGATAGCCCAGCTAAGGGCATTAACTCCTTGGATTACCGTTGCCCATTCGCGGGTACTAGGCTGGGCTAGTTTTGCCTTGCTAAGGCCGTCCGAGGTCGTAACTACCATACCCGCGAAGATAATACCCATTATAAATCCAGTCTCGTCAAAGTTATAGATATCGTTATCCATAATACCGTACTTAGCCTTAGTGTTCTGCACAAGTGCGAACCACTCGCTAATAACCTTTAGATCCTCGTATTTGGCCCTCTGGTAGTCGTATCGTGCAGGCTTGCCGATGCGGCGACGCGCTAGTGTTTTACGGTCGACTCCGTAAATTTTAGCTGCAGTTCGTTCGCTTAGATTCTCGTTATTTTGAAGAGCTTGGAGGGCTAAGATTATCTGGCTTTCTTTTGAAGTAGTGGGCATTTTGGATGGTAGAAAGTTGTTGTGAAGTGCAAAGATGTCGCGTCGCGTAGAAAGTGGGTCACTCGCTAATAATGTACGTTAAGAGATAAAATGAACATAATACAGAGGATAGAAAGACCATAATGCAAACCCAATGCCATGCCCATACAATACACCATACACTGTCCTATTCACCGTACCAACACCTCCACCATACCCAAAACACCTATCCTCCCTACCACCTATCCTCCAAATCACATTACCGGAACGCCATGTCCTTGCCCTATCCCAACTCGCCCCTCGCCCCCCCCCCCCCCCCGCGCGCGTTACATTTCTCTTTGAGCTGCCTCTCCCCACGGCACATGATGCCCTTGGTGTTGACATCCTGCAAGCATTTCGTCCCTTGTCGTCCCAACAAGCCACGGCTGGGCACGGATATGCGAGAGCCGGTGGGACGACGACCTGGCCCGTTAAGATCGAGCTGGATGACCGCCACTGTTCACGTGTGGGGGGTGATGCTGGGTTGGATGGGTCGGATAGTACCGGCGAGATCCTCGGGTCTGGCGAGGGGGTGTGGCTGGTGTTAAGCCAGCGGGGGTGACGAGTCGCTTTACCACCCACTGAAGGCCCCCGTCACGCCGTTGATTCTGGGCGCGGGCAGGCACGAAAGCAAAAGTCGGACGGCTGTGTCCGTGAGGGGGATCAGCTCGCGCAATACCATATCATGAAGCCGGCGACCCTCTGCCGCCCGCGGCACTCCAGTGGTTCTGAAACATGATTTCGCGACGGAAATGTGGCCGTGATGAGCAGGGTGGCTAAATGAGATAAGACGGTTTTATCCCCTCTATAAGACGAGACCGTGGGATGAGCCGAAGGCCTGAATCCGTGGGGTGAGATAAGATGAGGGTCCTCTCATCTCAACTCATCTTCTTAGCTACCCTGGTGACAAGCCACGGCCAACTTCAGCTCGTGTCGAACGTTGGTGCCCATGGGGCCGTTCGCTTTGCCTTGTACCACCTGGGAGCGGTAGATGTGAGTGGGTCGGTAAGGATACATCTCGAATAAAGAAGAGGAGAGGAGTAGAAATGTCCGCAGACGGGGCGTACTGGCTGTGAAGACCTTCGAAATGGTCCTGTTGTCGGCACCGTGGTGGTACCGACACTGTAACATATATACCACAGGAGCGAGCATTGCTGCTGCTCTTGGATATCTCAGGCGCCAGTGGTGAAGGGCGGTTTGGGCAGCGGTCACGTCCGTTTGTGAGGGACCCTTCGCAAAGACCAACAGATGGAAAGCGAAGGAGTTCAGATAATCATTCATGGCAATGATACTGCGCTGGTTCGGTCAGCCTGAACAGTGATTGCTCGACTGTGCCCTGTAATTGCTGCGTGGGTGCTGAAGCAAGGCATGAACTTGAAACCAGGCCGGTAAATCTGTAGTACGATACGCTGCTGCAAAAGTATATTGTGCTGTCCTGGCGGTGTCGAAGTAATGACTATCCCTGTGCTGTCTTTGAGCAGATAGAAGAACCAAAGTTGTCGAAGCCGAGGTGAAGGGGAGGCAAGAAGCAGGTTCTGTGTCTCATCTGGCCGCATCTGTCGTGTTCCAGCACTTGGTCGTGACCGACAAGCTCGGTTGGGAAGCAAAAACACTGGACACAAGCAGCCAGCAGTCCTTCTGGCAGCTACTGTTTGACATATTCAGGGCGACAGCGACTGGCAAGTATCGCCCGGTCCGGTCACTCGAGGCCTTGAATCTCATCGGAAAGCGACAGCAATGTCTAACAGAAAGCGCAAAGGCTCGGGTTAACCTTCGAAGTAGCGCCTTCCGTGACGGTTGTCAAAATTGGCGTTGATATGGGATATGGCTGGGGACAGGATTGGGGGGGACAAGCCTGCCGGACAGACAAGCCTGGAAGTCCACCCGTCCACCAAACATTGACAAGGCCGATCAACATAGCTTGGACTTCTGACTTCTTGACTGCCGACAGCGAGATTCGAGATTGTTGATGGCAAGCGGCATTGTTGCTACGCACGAGCTGAGTGTGCCGTGCCTTCTGAGGCTCCTTGTCGTCGTAGCAAGTGCCATTCTAGACGGCAGTGTGGGTTCACGACAGAGTCGATGGCTGGAATGGCTTGGGCTGGGGCTGAGCGTGTTTAGTCCCATCGACTTTGTGAGCAGGCGTGGCCTAGCCAAGCTGTCGGGGCTACCTTCTGGGACAATGTTGGACTAGGTAGTACAGGTTCTGCCTAGCGGAGGAAGGAGCACGTGGCGGCGACAGAGAGGCACTTGATACACATGACAAGGCAAATTTTGTAGCAGCTGCACGGTAACGATGCCAACAGCGACGGTGATATGGAAGTGGTAATGTCGGTGAAAGAGCTGCCGTAGGTCTCGAGGCAAAGTGTCGTGGTGGTCGCCAACCAGAGAGCAGCCTGGAACATTGGCAATGACATAGTCCGACCAACGGTTGAGATCGACCAGGACGGTGGACATAATCAAGGCTTGAGGTGGCCCGAGGATGGTCTACGGAACCAAGTCAAAGGGGGTCGCCGGAAGAGGAGGATAATGAGGATAGTTGCGAATGATGAAAGATGCCGTACGCCAATAATCAAAGCCTCAACGCCTGAAAATGCTGCTGCCCGAATTCGCAGTGAAGATTGTTGCCTCGAGACCGCCTGAACACCACGACCGGCACAAAGCCTGAAGTCAAACAACACCCATGATTAGTCTCTCGATCAGGGCGCCCGCCACGCCACAGCCGACCACGATCCATGTCCACTTATTGTGAATCTGGCCCTTGTCCGGCCAGAAGCTGTTTCGCTCTCGACGGTAGCGGTCGAACTCGATCTTCTTGCTGACGTCCTCAGATGAGTATCGTCTGGTTCGCGTGTACTCATCGGTCTTGTCGCCGCCGACACATCGAAGGTACAGGTAGTTCGCCAGAGGGCCAAGCATGGCGATCGGAGTGAGGAGGTCGGACGCATAGAGCATGAGTGGAAACGACAGGTGGACAAGGGCGTCGCCGAGATAGCTGTGAGCACCAACAAGTCAGTATGAGAAGGTAGTGGTGACAGTGGGTTGGCACTTACTTGGGATGTCTCACAATACCCCAAACCCCTTCCTTGCAAATCTTCTCTTCACGGTTCTCCCTCTCTCTGCTGATGGAAACTCTGCGTCCATTCACTCCTGTCTCGACAGTCCAACCTGGCTGGGTAAACTTGACGCCATTTCCATTTTCTTTCTCCAGACTACCCGCTCGGCTCCTGGTGCCAGGGCCAATTCCAATTCCCTTGCCCATCTTGAACCGGTCCAACTGCCAATCGGCCAAGACTTCCATGGTGAGACCCATAGTGAACAAGCCGACTGACAAGGCCTGAGCCCAGCCCTTCTGTGTGATTGACGTCAGCGACTGCTGGATCACTGCGCCTGAGTAGTATCCCAGTCTGAAAGGTGTGACGACAGGAAGGCTGATGAGGGTCAACCAGCCAATCTCGGGCACAAACTTCTTCCACCAGATCTTGTTCCAGCTGAAGCCATGCTGACGCTTGAGCGACTCGTAGGCGGGCTTGTCACGACCCTTCTCCCTCTTGAGCATCCGGGAGAGCACCCGGTAAAAGAGTCTGCCTCCCCACAGAGTCACTCCAGTCAAAACAAGCTTCTCAGGGCGAGCGAGGGCCTTGTAAGCGGAAAAGAGGGAAACTGGGTGGTGTGCAAATTGATGCCGAAACACGGCGGACCACCATGCGTTGAGGAGGGGACCGAGGGGCCAGATCAGGTCTTTGGCTTCCAAGCGGTTGGTGAGCCGAGCCACAGTGTATGAAATGCTTGCAAGAGAGGAGTTCAACGCCAGTGACGGGAGAAGAGTGGAATGCAACAGCAGCCCTGGAGACAGTAGGGAAGTCTTGAGAGTTGTGCTGAAGGTGGGACATGCTGTCCGTGGACGCGATATGGGGTGGAAATCGGAAGGATCGTCGGAGACATAACTATGGCCACCATACGGGTTGGAAGTTGATCGAATGACCATCTTGTACAAGAGATCGCCGAGTTGGCCGTCCTTTGGGTGGTTGTAGATGATGGCAAGTCGAGAGCCAACTGGAAGAGGTTGGGGCGGTTTGGTCTCTCTTTGCAGTGCTGAGAAGTTGGACTGGAGAAGAAATACAGGAAGCATAATAAAGTAGGACTGGAGACACCTATCGGTTAGCAATTTCTCTCTGAAAAGTGGTAGGTAGCGAATAGTGACGTCGAAATGTACGCATCGACGGGAGCCGGGCACAGGGCCACCGATGACGCCAGTCTCCCGTGTCAAAGAGTCTGAAAGCACGTACCTGTTGATATTGATGGTGGTAATAGGAGATGAGGCAGTTGATGATCGTGTTGATAATGAGGAGATAATTGATGGAACATTTTCCCCGGCTCTCTGCAGCTGGTACAGCTGAAGAGGTATCGCCTGTACGGAGTAAGCCAATTGTGGTGGTGGGTCAAGAATAGATAATAGGATAATACCAGCCCGATGGACGGCGAAGATGAGAGGTCAAGAGGTCATTATTGATTTCGAGTTCCCTGGTGGTGCAAGATCCGGTGCTGGCTGCAAAGGAAAAGTCAACCTGTCACGGAGCAGAGGAGCGGAGAAGAAGACTTGGTAAACCAGACAGACCGTGGGTGCACGCCTTCCAATCCCTTCTTCCTCTCGGAGCACCTACCCATCTCGAGCACTGGACCAGGAGATTGCCAGTGGTGCAATTACTTGTACGGTCTGGAAGGGTTTGCGGTCCTGCCCACTGAACCTAGGTCCACAGCATCGCAAGCAGGCTTGTCCTTTCACTGGACCCCTGATCGCCCCGAACCTTCCAGGTTGCTCTGCCTGTGTACCTGCTCCGTCCTGCACCGCACGAGGCAAGAATCACCGCCTCGCCAGAATCGCCGATGGGTTGGCCACTTTTCCTCAAGTATCTCTCAACAATGTATACCAATCTGGTACAACACGGCATGCCATACAGCTATCTGTGATGAGACGTCTCTCTGTGCCGATTTTCTATACTCTAGGAGCCTTCCCAGCACCCACGCTCTGTCACCAAGGTACCACAGCTTTCCATCCCGGCAGGCTTACAGTCTAGACCAGAGCTTCTAGTACTGTAGGGGCCTGTTGTAGGCTCAGACACCATGGGAGGTTGACGGGGTAGATCTGTCTATCCGACACCTAGCAAACGAGTGCCCTTACCGTCAAATTCGCCAGTGAGGTACAACAAAGATGTTGTGGTACCGTGTCCGGGGCTTCAGCTCCCTCCGGCGATGTTGGTTCGATAGGTCCCTGCACCATGCTGTCCGATTGGTTGCTCATGCTCCGTGATAACAGCCGTGGCCGTCGGGCTTGGCTTGGCCCAGTATCCAACACGATATTGGTTCTGCTGGTTCGTCGTACTGCTTCAGCTTACCCCTCTTTGAACACCCAGGGAGATCAAACTGGCAACTGACCTTTGTTCATCCTAGATAGTACTTACTCCCACCAGCTCCTGGTCAAAATCCCTGTGTCGATCGAAGCCAGCGCGAGTTCCCGAGAATATTCCCTGAATATCAGACGGTGAGAGCGACGTCGCCATGGAGACAATCACACCTTGGCCGCTTGTGGCCGCCATCGTCGGTGGGCTCTGCTGGATGGCTACCACCGTCATCTGGCGTCTTTACTTCCACCCACTGTCCAGGTTTCCCGGTCCCAAGTTGACAGCCGTAACACTCTGGTACGAGTTCTACTGGAACGTGGTCAAAAAAGGACAGTTCATGTGGAGGGTGGAAGAAATGCATCAAAGATACGGTCCAATCGTCCGTATCAATCCCCACGAGCTACACATTCTGGATCCAGACTTCTACGACGAGCTCTACGGATGTGGCGTCAACTCGAAGCGCAAGCTCGACAAGTACGAATGGTGGACCAGACTGGCTGTCGCTAGCAGTTCCACCTTTACGACCGTGCCACACGACCTACATCGACTTCGTCGGGCAGCCCTCAATCCCTTCTTCTCTGTGGCATCCGTCACCAAGCTGGAGCCGCTGATCAAGTCCAAAGTGGAAAAGCTTTCCGCTAGATTGGACAAGATTGCCCAGACGGGGGAGGTCTTCCGCCTTGATGCCGCACTCATGGCGCTGACCATGGACGTGATCTGCGACTACAGCTTTGGGCACGACAGAAAGTACCTCGACAAGCCTGACTTCGAACTGCAGTTCAAGGAGGCCGTCGTCGGTGCGACGGGGGGCTGCTTTCTGATGATGCAGTTCCCTTGGATCCCGTCGTTGATGGAGCGGATCCCCCAATCCATCGTGAAAAGGACGAGTCCAGGCGTGGCTTACATGCTCGCCCGGCAAGAGGACATGATCAAGCAGGTCAACCCGATACTTGCGGGGACCGAAGGAGAGAAGTCCGGCGCCCGTTCGATTTTCCACGCTTTGCGTGACAACGAGAATCTGCCACCGAGCGAGAGGACGTTGAAGCGAATGTGCGACGAGGCTACACTGTTGACTGGTGCTGGATCTGAGACTACAGGTCAGACGCTAACAAGGATGTTCTTCTACTTGAAGCACGTTCCGGACGCGTTGGAGCGACTCAGAGAAGAGTTGGATGTGGCCATACCAAGCGAGCAGGATATCCCTTCTTGGAGCACGTTGCAACAGCTTCCATATCTGGTGAGATTGCAGATCTCTCTCCCCTTCAGCAATACCTGCTAACCTCCCCGAACAACAGACAGCGGTAATCAAAGAGGCACTCCGGCTCTCCTACGGTATCACCACAAGGCTTCCACGAGTCGCACATGAAGACATCATCTACAAGCAATATGTCATTCCTGCCGGTACCCCAGTTTCGCAGACTGGGTACTTTATCCTAATGGACCCGACCGTTTTTCCTGAGCCGCATGTCTTTAAACCGGAGCGTTGGTTAGGCTCAGGAAAGAGATTGGACAAATACCTGGTACCGTTTGGGAAGGGGTCGAGAGCTTGTCTTGGAATCAGGTACGGATCGACTTCGCATTTCGTGTTGGAATCCACGACTGACATATGCTGTTTTCAGTCTAGCCTATGCTGAAATGTACTTGACAGCGGCCACAATTGTAAAGCGGTTTGACTGGGAGATGTACGAGACAACTTTGGGAAGGGACATTGCTTGCCATAGGGATGCTTTTGTGGCACTTGGAGCTTATGATAGTCCGGGGGTACGGGCTACAATGTCACGGCGCAAGCTTTAGGCAGATATGATCGGTTGATGTGATTGGAAACATTCTTGGACAGTTGATTGTCTGACTATGACTGTTTCTATGCGCACTTTGACTCTTAAAGTCTCGGTGAGGTTATGTCTAGTTCCCCTGTCTGAGCATGTAGCAAACTGGATGGTATCTGGGATAATTGAGTTGAACATGAAGATGTAGTTTCTGTCTCGATTGATCGAAGAAGTTTATTTCTCTACAGGTATCGACATAATGACCTGTCACTGGGAGCATATGGTGAGGGGCTCCTTCCTTCTGTAGGGCAGCTAGGCTGGAGTGGTGAAGTAGTGTCAGAAAAAATCGCCAGTGTCTGGCCTTTTTTTCCTCTTGTTATCAAGAACGTCAAGATGGGATCCGCGAGCCCTTACACGCCGCCTCCAACGCCTACTCACACGCCTCCCAGGGCGCCGCCGCCGACGCCGCCACTAACCCCCCCTCCGGGCCCTCCTCCTCCTCCTCCGCCCCCGCCGCCGCCGCCACCTCCAGCCCCGCCCCCCGTGACCGGCTGCTCGCGCGGCTGGGAGATTGTCGGTAAGCCCAGCTATTCAGTTTTGCTTTCTGACGATGTAGTGTTTCTTTGGCGTTTCCTCGGATGTTTGGAACAGTCAAGTGGCTGTTCTTGACTTTTGGTCGAATTGCTTGTTCCATCGAAACCTCTGCACTTTCCCGTCACTTTTTGCTTCGAGCTTCTCAGCCATAGGTCTGGGAAGGTCAATATTTCGAAAGATGGCCTCACCTCTATTGAGACTCTTCACATCTGCCATCTCCACTCTATCATTTTCATATGATGTTCAGATAGGCCATTTTGGGAAGCTATGTCTAATGGACTTCTGCAAGTCATGAATCTGGATTGATTCATGCCAAGCAATGTCTTTCAGTGTTTTAGTTCTTACCCAGCCAAAAGCCACTTTAAATCATAGACCCACATTCCCAACGGCGCCTTGTCTTGGCCTTCTTGGCTTTGTCGTGATCGCGACAACCAACCCCTGGCCGGCCACCGTTTCTTGGCTTTCGTCATCAGTTTGAGCGCCCACTCGTCATGCATTCAGCTGTTCCAAGGCGTCGGGTGCCAGCCAAGGCAATCAAGCACACGACACGTTCTAGACCTTTCAGGAACCATATTTGAGCAAGACATCTACCACACCTAGATCTCTTCCCCAGATCTTCTGCGCATGGTGCCTGAACCATCACACCCTCCAAGAGAAGCTTATCAGCTTCGCCCAGAGCACTTCCAAAGCCTCGACTAACACACCACACCTTGTAGCAGACGACATCAAAACAATCACCATGGGGTCTACCGGCCTCTTCGAATCTTTTCTCGGCGCCATCCAGGCCTCCCTCTCAGTCCTCCTCGTCATGACCTATGGCGGCGTCGCGGGCTGGCTGGGACTTCTCGACCGCAAAAGCAGCAAGAAGATCTCCAAGATCTGCGTCCAGCTTTTTTTGCCTGCGCTTCTCATCACCAAAGTCGGCTCTCAACTCGACCTCGACTCCGTCAGCAACTATGTCCCCATCGTCATCTGGGGTGTAGTCTGCCACATTGTCTCCTTTGGCATCGGCATGCTCGCCCAATTCGGTTTCGGAATGCCCAACTGGGCCTCCGTCGCCATCCTCATCAACAACACCACGAGTTACCCGCTCCTCCTCATTGGGGCACTACAAGAGACGGGAATTTTGGACACGCTGGTCATGGGAGATGAATCCAGCAAGGAAGCAGTCGAGCGCGCCAAGTCGTACTTTTTGGTGTTTTCAACAATCTCCAACTGCATTACTTTTGCGGTTGGTCCTCGTTTGCTCGAGGACACGGACTCGTGGGATGGCGAGGACAAGGATGGTTCGGACGAGAGCGGAGGCGGGAATCAGGATGATGAAGAAGCGAGTGCGGACGAGCAGACTCGTCTCCTCGGGAACCGGAACAGCTCGTCGAGTGGGCGCGACAACCGGCAGCAGGAGAACTACACGGACGAGCACCCTTTTTTTGTGTCGCAGGAGCAGTGGGATGGTCTCTCCCCTCGTGCCCAGTGGTGGGTGTCGCTCGTCCTGTCCTTTTTCAACGCCCCCCTCATTGGGGCGGTGATTGGCGCTGTGGTTGGCCTGGCTCCCCCTCTTCACAAGGCCTTTTTTGCCCCGACTCAAGAAGGCGGTATCTTCACCGCTTGGTTGACCGCTTCCCTCAAGACGATCAGCCAGTTGTTTGCGCCCCTGCCTGTCCTCGTCACTGGGCTTTCGCTGTTCAACTCGATCAAGGAGTTCCGCAAGAGCAGGAAACAAGGGAGGGAAGATGGGAAGCTGAGGAAGATTGTCCCCTGGGGTACGGTGTCGTTTATTCTGCTGGTGCGGTTTGTCATCTGGCCGGTGATGAGCATCGGGACGATTTGGCTGCTGGCGACGAAGACGGATTGGGTGGGGAGTGATCCTATTTTGTGGTTTACCATGATGCTTATGCTGCGGGGCCGTCGGCACAGAAGTTGATTAGTTTGGTGCAGGTTACGGAGGGGGTGGGGGGGGAGCAGGAGGGTGCGATTGCGAGGTTGTTGACGATTTCGTATATTATTAGCCCGTTGTTGAGTTTGACGGTTGTGGGGAGTTTGAGGGCTTGTCAGGGGGTTTTGGATGGGTGATTCTAGGGGGAGGGGTATTGAAGGGATGTTGAAGGGATGTTCATGGGGGTGTTGAGGTTACGGAAGGGCGTGCTGTGTGTTTGTGAGGCCTTCAAGGTATTAAATAAGGCCTTAGCATGGGTTAAATGAGCCCTATCAAGTATATTGAAGATAATAAGAGGCCTACCAGATATAATAAGAGGCCTGTCGAAAATAATTAGGGGGCTCTTTCCAATGTTTAGAGGCCTATCTACCGTTCCACAAGGCACCTTGATTATCCGGTGAGGTAGGTTGACGTTTTGAAGACACATGTGAGTGTTATTCTGACGCCCACTAGTTTTACATCAAGGCATCCTTCGTGATTGGCATATGGTAGGGTCTGATGTAGATGCTTTGTCTCCTCAAAAATGAAACTTTGGGCATGGAACGACATCATTTTTGCTCACATTTTAGACTTGACAATGCGGAAGACACATCAACAACACTGGGAGTCATGGAAATAAGTTCCTTGTCAATATCCAACTCTTGAGCGTTGTTGAACTTGATATTTCTATTGACAGAAAACCAGACAGTAATTGTATACCACCAAAACAGGACCTAGACCCGTCTTACCATGACCGGGCCAAACCATTAGGCATTGTCCGCTTAGACCCCGGTTGCCCAAGTACACCACCCATCCCGTCTTCATCAACCATCACGACATCCAATCGACCAACACGGCCATGCCCCGTCCCCAGCCCTCCACGAGAATAACCATTTTCCTCCCTGGTATAACCATCTCACCAATACCCGCACCAAGATGGCCACCGAATCACCTGCCAACCATCACCCAACCTATTCACAAACTCCCGCCCGTCAACGTGTAACCCCTTTCGCGGTCCTGTACTCGGGCGCGAGCGAACACAAAGTGAAGCGCACACTACTCTGGCCTGTGGGAATTCCATTTGACGGCTGCTCTCTGGCCTGTGCGCGTGTGGCCCGCTCCTAATGGTGGTTCTGATGTTGTGGGGTGGAAGGTGTGTAGGAGGTAGGTGAAAGGTGATGGGGAGGGGTGGTGGAAGAAGGAGAGGTGGGAAGGGTGGTTAAAGGAAAGGGTTAGATGGAAGAGGGTATCAGACGGGGGTTGATATAAGAAGAGAGCAAGGCAGGGAGAGGGGGTTGAGCGGCAATGTGGGAAAAGGGTGATATGAGAAAAGGGGGTCAATGTCAACTTCAAGTTGTTACACAAAACCATCGTTCCAACACTCCGGTAGGAGTTCAGGTCTATAAATTCCAACATTCAATCTAAAAAATCTCGCCCGAACCACCCCCCTCTCCCCTTCCCTTTCAACCCCCCCTCCATCTAGTTCCCCCCAGGGAAATCCACAATCTCAAACTCCCTCGGCCCGCTATAACTGACATCATTATCAAACGGATTCCCCTCATCGTTCAAATTCACATAGATATCCTCCTTCGGCACCCTATACGTCCCCAACACCCCGTCAACCGTGACATTAAACACCGCGTCGTTTCTATCCGTCTCTGCCCCTCTGGGATGGTTGAACGTCCAGTCGACCCTCTCGTTATCGCAGTGACCTAGTCCTTGATACACATACCCCAGCCAGGTTGCGCCTGAGAAGCCTAGCTCGACTGAGGCCCAGCAGTAGACTGGGGGGGTGGAGGGGAGGGTGGGGGATGTTAGGTTGAATTCGAATCTGGGAAGGGACGGGTCAGTATGAGTGGGGAGGGAGAGTGGGGAGGGAGAGAGGGCCAGAAAAGGGGTGATGGAAAGGGGGTGTAGTTGTTGGGTTACACACCGGCAGCCACTGCTCAAATGCGGCTTTGAGGCGAAGAAGCCTGAGATGTGGTAGGGGCCGTGAGCGGCGGCTGTTGCGTCAGGGAGTGGCGTGCTGTTGGACAGGCCGACGAGGGCGGCAGCGGCAGCGAGGGAGAAAATCGACTTCATCGTTGTGATATTTTTGTTGAAACTTGAAGGGGTAGTAAAGCAAAGGGATCTGTGAGAGTATGCTAACGTGGATGGTGAGTGTGAGAGGATGATGACATGAAAGCAGATCAAGGGTTAGACTCAAGGGTCAATTTATACACACCAATCCCATCCTTTGATCGAGCATATTATCGCAACAACGTCATATCTCGTTGCGGTCGGGTCTTCCTGCATCGTATTCCTAAACATCGTATTCATCGGTGCGGACTAATCCTATAAATATCTCGGTCCTATTTGGACGTTGACAACAAGTTGTGATTCGTTCTGAGCTCGATCAACCAGACTCCGGCTGTACCATGATCGACCAGCTGTCAGGCAGTGTAGTGTAACGATGAATTGTTCACTTCAGTGGCGCCAGACCATTAGCTGGCTGGTACGATGAAGGAACCTGGATAAATCCGAGGTGACGGGCTGTACAGTGTCGCGTTGGGCGGGCAGGGCTTATTTCCGGTGAACCCAAAGAGGCAGGACATGCAATACGCCAGTTCAGATGACCAGGGCATCCAGTCAGCATAGAGTTGCGGTGTAGAAACTGTAGCTCTACAACAGCGCCACCAATCAAAAGCTCAAGCCACAATAAAACATGACATGAGACTAATAAGCATTATCAATAGTGACTGCTAGCTATATATACAACCTGTCTACCCAAAACCCCATCGCAACAGACTTAGAGCTTGTACGCGGCCTTCTTGCCGGTGTACTTGAGCGAGAAGATACCGCGCTCAATGGAGTTGAGGAGGATGTAGCCGGACTTGAAGTAGGGGTAGACGGACCAGGTGCCGAGGAACTCGGTGACACCGTTGACATCATCGTCCTCCGGGTGGCAGTCGAAGAAGCCCGTCTCCTTGAACTTGGCGCCGGTGGGGTCGACCTTGACGGAGGAGACATCGACGACGCGGAGGCCGGAGCCGTAGTTGGCCTGGTAGGTGAGACCATCGATGACCTATTGAGCAGCATGTTAGCGATCTGAACACTTCAAATCCACAAGAGAAAAACTCACGTATTGGTTGTGGTCGATGGACTTGGCAGGGGACTGGTAGTAACCAGTGTTGACGGGGGCCTCGAGGTTGGCAACGTTGAAGATGTAGGTGGTGGTGCGGCCGTTGGCAGCAGGCCCGACCTTGTTCTGCTCATCGAGCTCGTCGTCGAGGAGGAGGAAGGACTGGTTCTCATCAATGAGCCAGCCCTGGTGAGAGTAGGCATTGCCCTCATAGGGAGTGCGGGAGACGACGGCGGGGGCCGACTTGTTGGTGACGTCCATGACGGTGAGGGTGTCCTCGTTGAAGTTGAAGCAGATCTCACGACCCTTGTAGGCGGCGCTGGGGCCCTTGTAGATGACGCACTGGGCATCATGAACGTAACCGTCCTGGGGAATGCAGCCAGGGGACACTGGCTTGAGGGGGTTGGAAACGTCAACCATGAACATGCCACCGGCGCAGGGGGTGTTGCGGGCGTTGGCGCCGGAGCGGCCACCGACGGCGTAGATCATGTTGGTCTCCTCGTGGGCAACGATGTTGTGGGTGGCACCGACGCCATCGAAGAGGGTGATGTCGGTCTCCTTGCTGAAGACCTTGGGCTTAAAGAAGAAGGGATTCCACCAGGGCTTGACGTCGAGGAGCTTGCGGAGGTCGAAGATCTGGATACCGTGGTTGTTGGCCTCGGCGCCAATGTAGGCATAGTCGCCAATGACCTTGATATCTCTCCACGAGACGATCTCGGTCTGGGTGTCGAGGCGGCCGATGTACTCGAGACGACCGAGGCCGGTGATCTCAACGAAGGCGACACCGTCGGTCTGACCAACGATACCGAACTCGCGCTTGGACTTCTTGTCGGTCCAGCCCCAGACATCGTTGCCGGCCTTGGAGGCGGAGCCGAGATCCTCATGGGAGAGGAAAGCCTGGAGGTTGACGTTGTTGCAGGAGTACTCGCCGGCCTTGCCGTTTCTGCAAGGAACGGTGCTGAAGAGGGCCTTGTAGAGCTTGGAACCACCGAAGAGACCGGAGGCGCGAGCGGCATCCCACTGCTTGATCTTCAGAGCCATGACTTCCTCATGCTTGCTGGCGGCCTCGGCGGAGAGGCCGGCAGAGACAGTCGTCGCGCCGAAAGCGGCAGCGGCGACAACGGAAGTAACCTTCATGTTGGCGGTTGGACGTGGTTGGCTTGAGGGTGGATGGATGAAGAAGAAGAAGTGGTGGTGGAAGAAGGAGATCAGAGGAGAGGATGTCCCGAGTCTGACTGACCTCTCTCTCTTTGTCTTGACGGCGAGGGTGAGGGCCCGTCGGTATTTATAATTGTCGATTAACGGAGACCGTGGGTGCTATTCTTGGAGTACCATGTCAATGTCAGCGTCGCCTTTGGAGTTGCTTCCCCTCCCGCTCCTGCTCCTCCTACTGTCCATCACGGTCCATCACTGTCCATCGCCCTCCCCAATACTGCAACCCATGCATGCGGGCAGGTCGTCGTTGGTAGAGTCGTCGTGAAGGGGAATCTTGGCCCGGTTATCGTGCTAGCTAATCACGTCAGCCATCTGCTCCTCTGGTGAACTGCCAGAAGAGGCAGGTTTCAACGGCTGATCCTTGACTGTTCGGGTCTAGGGTGGTATCTTGCCGACAAGGCTTGGTCTTGTCAACTTCCTTTCCCGACAGCCGGGCTCCACAGATCCAGGCACAAGGTCCAAAGAATTTGTGGGGGAACCGTTGGAGGTTCCATTCCCGGGCAAGTGTGGTGGAGTTGGCCAAGAGGGTTCTCCGGGTTGGTGCGGCGTAGCACCGGTCTCGGCATTGCTCGGCGCCTTATATTCCATGCTTCTAACAGTGGGGGAGATATCGATATTCACAGAGGAGATGGGATGAAGGAGCCAGTGGGAGCATGAAGGACGGTTATTTCCAGAAGATGAGAAGCCATGCAAGCCATGCACCTATCAACAGCCAAGCCCCTTCCATGGCCCATCCAGCTTCCATATCTCTCCAACTTTCTCCAACAGTCCAAGACTCCCAAGAACTCGCAAGCCTCTCCAGCTTCCATCTTTCGTTAACCCCTCCCAATCCTCCAACCGGCGTGCCGGCCACCTGCTGCTCGTGTGAGCACATGCATGCCGCTTGCCACCCGACATTCGGTCAACCAAATTGCGGCACACTACCTTGCACTACCTACGGCTTCCCGGCCCAAAACTTCGAGACGAATTCCTCGATCCCTGTAAACTTGTAGTCGGGGAAGATGCGGTTCCACTCATCCGATACCACCAACTCGTCATCCACCAACGCAAGCAGAAAACCCGAAAACGCCGCCTTGGAGAAGGCCGCCCGCGTCTCCTCGTCAAGGTGTTGAATCGAGGGGTGCTCAAGTGGTTTGACCCACGAACCGTTCCATTCTCCTTTTCTGAGGCTATCAACATCCAGCAGCTCAACTTCGAATTTCTTGCCTGTATTGTGTTATTGGATTAGAGTACTGCCATGTGACGAGCCAAGACGTAGTAGGTAGGACGCCAAAAGATTCAGGTTGGGAAGTCAACAAACCTCTTATCTTCTCCCCAATCGCTAGCTCCTCGGCGAGCGTAAGTGTTTCACCCGCGATGCCTCCAATCTTTGGCCACTCGCCTTCGTATTCGATTGCCTTTGCGACGATGTTGGCGACATCCCGGACTGTGGTGGCCGTCAAGCGGGGTTTGAGACTCCCGGGAGCGAGCAACTTGTGGTTTGCAAAGTCAATGGGGAGGAAGTCGTTCGTCTTGAGATGCTTGTTGATGTTCTCGTTGGCGTGGTAGTCAGTGAATATGCCAGGCTGGAACAGACAGTACTCGATGACTTTGCCGTCCTTGTTCTTTTCTCCGAGATAGTCGCGGATGGCCACCTTGCTGGCGGCCCACCGGAGATGAGTGTAGCGAGCACTAGCTGTGTCAGTGTCATGTTGTCGGGCTGAGGCCTACGAAGATGGACCTACATAAACCACTCGCTCGGAGCGAAGCGCTTGACTCCGGCTGCGATGGCGGCGTCGATGAGAGTCTTTTGAGCGATGCCATCGGGGTCATTTTGAACAACCACAAACGAGAGAACAGTATGGACGCCCTGAAGGACCTTCTCCAGCTCAGCTGGGTTGTGAAAGTCGACCTTGAGTGGGGTTGTGCCCTCGACAATTTCCTCTGGGGCAAGTTCCTATCTGGAGTCAGATCTTGGGCCAGAGATTGCGTCTGCTACTGTTGGGTTGACTTACCCGGCGAGCAAGCGTGATCACTTCATGCTTCCCAGTAGCGACAAGAACTTCGATGATCTCACGAGCGACCTCTGCAATAATGAATGTGGTTAGCTTTGCAAGCTGCGAGGTGTGGTGGCCTGTGACTTACGGCCCGGAGCGGCAACGGCAATCTTGACCATTTTCACGGTTGTCGGGGATACCTTAGTGTGTTTTGGAGTGGGTGGAATATCGCGATATCGTGTTTGAAGGTATTAAGTCCTTGAGATACAATGGGTACACAATGGACGTATTTATTTGTCCCGAATCGTACGCCAGCAGTCTTACTCCTGCGGACTCACAAGTTGCAGACCACAGCTCCGTGGGTGTTGTCGGCGCCATGGTTACGCCGACATGTGTCGTGCTTGCCAATCACGATAAACTGAACGCCATGGTGTCTGCCTGAATTCTGCCCTTCCGTCGTTCTGAATACGCCGAGCTCTGATACGCCAGTGCGAAGGAATGGTCGCACAAGAGTCCGAGATGTGCAGCGGTGACGGTTCCGAGTCAAAGCTAAGACTGGAATGGCGAAGGACAGTTCAAATGGAGCATTGTCGGATGCACTCGCTTTCCGGATGCCGTAACGTACCGAGCGACAAGCATTCTTCACGCCACGGCGATCCACGGAGATCCACGGCGCTTTAGGGGGGGAATCATCCGGTCCCGGCACGGCGGTAGCTGGTGCCGTCGTATCTCGTGCCGTTTTGCAGAAGCTTGGCAAGGAGAATGTCAATCTTTTCTGAAGATCAATGGACGACGTACATGATGACTTCTTCGCTGAGCCAAAACCTACATTCACACCGCCATCACCACCACCAACGACAACCCCCAACGTCCCAGCTCCCCATTTTACACCCCCTGAATCAACATCCTGACCGACCTCACCACTCCCCTCCGAGTCTAACCCATCATCAATCTTCTCCTCCTCACTACAACCACATCCAGACAAATCCTCCTCCCCATTGAACGCCCGCCCATACCGACAAATTTCCGCCTGCCTCAGACAATTATACCTCTCCACCGGCCCCGAACACCTCAACAATCTCGGCCACGCCCCCTCCACACAGCTGCATTCCCAACAATACGCCACATACTCCTCCGGATCGTCCTCCCATATCCCCGCCTCCTCAGCCGTCCCCGAATTCAACGCGTCATATCTCTTGCAGGCATTCTCCCCGGGTAAAACACCACCTCTGGTGCGGCAATATCTCTCGCAGATGCTGATTTGACTGCGGCAGACGGCGTTTCCTAAAGATTGTTAAACCATTTGAGGTAAGTACCTTAGGTATGGGGGTGACAAAGAACCAACCAAAATACCCAATACCTTCACGGGTAGGGCGGGGGAAAATAATTGAAGAATTCATTTCTTGGTCGCGTACTGCCGTGGTCCACCAGGTGTCGTTTTGGGAGCATGCCCCGATGGCTCCGAGCGTGATGGCTAGGAGGGTTGTAATGGGAGGGAGATACATCGAGGAACTGGGCTTGAGTTAGAGGTGGTTTTGGGAGAGCGAAGACGCGACAGAAAGCTGACGACGTGGATGGGAGCTGAAACAAGAATGCTGACTACCAGGTAGCTTCACATTCGTGCGATACTTCGCCGCGACTCTCCACCAGGCAAGAAGCAGTAGAGTGAGCTGGGGAGGCTTAGCTCTTGGCCCTGAAACTTTTGCACGCGGTTCCGTCTGGATATACAAATGGATGGACTTGGATTACTATTCATTGCCGTCTCAAACCACCATCATCACCGCCAACAATGCTCCCAAAACCCCAGCTGCCCCTTTCCCAGCCCCTGAACCAACGATTTCCTCCTCTACAGCCGTAGGCTGAGCTGCACCGGAAATCGCCTCCTCCGAATTGGGATGCTCTTTCTCGTGCGACGATGGCTGAGGTCCGCCGGTGACTACTGGACGGCCCTGCATGTCGTCCACCAAAGAAATGACCACGGAAGAAGTGACCGCAGTAGGCACCTCCCCCATATTCGAGGTTTCCACCACCGTACTCTCAGACGTCGCAATCCCGGCCGTAGACACAATTGTCGAACTTGTCATCGAGGGAGTCAAGGGCGTGGAAGACACCACCGCAACGGCACCCACCCCCGTCACAACAGGCAACGGCAACAACGCAGGACATTCACACTTCGTCTTCCCCCACACCGGATCATCCTTCAACGCCTCCCTCTGAACAGCGCACCACTCCGCCTCCCGCTCACACTCCAACCGCGCCACCGACCCAGGATAAAGCCTCAGGTTCGGCCAGCTCTCATCCCTGCACTGGCATTTGAAGCAGTAGGGGATTTGCTTGTCAGGGTCATCCTGTCTGTTGTTCTCGGTGATGCAGACGTTTTGGCCGGGGATGGTACCGCCCAATGGACTGCAGACTGCTTCACAGGTTTTGATTTGGCTCGGGCAGACGGTGTTGCCTGAAGTGTGTGTTAGCAATTACACGAGATCAATGGAGGCGGAGGGGAACTAACCGTAGTATGCAATGCCATTTTCAGTTCTTCGTATGTTTGGCGTGAGACACCAATATCCCTGCTTTCTGGTGTCCCATTCCCAGTCGCGTGACAACACACCCGATGTTCCAAGCCCAACGGCCAGGAGGCATGACGCGGTGATGAAACGCATGTTGGGCAGCAGGGCACTGTTCAAGGGGAGTGGAAAGAAAGATTCGGCAGGCTGACGTTGACCGGGAAAGGGACTTTTGTATCGACTCTTCCATGGAGCCCCCAACCACTAGCGAGTGGATGCCATCGCGATGTCTCCGCCCATTACAGACTAAAAGAGATTAAACAACCCCGTCAATGTGACGAACCCCTATCCAGAACCTCTGAAAGGGATACTAGTCGAAGGCGCTTCTAGACAATCTTGGTCCGGTACAGGTAAACACTGTACAACAAATAGCTTGTCTCAATCACATTAGTCTTGATACCAACGAATGTGACTTGAATTGCATACTGCGGAACTATCTGCTAGCCATCTAGTTCCTCCGTATATATAGACCAGTGGATCACCTGGATCACTTTTGCCAAGGGTGATCCGGATCACCCTTCTTTCCTTTGGATCACTTGGATAACCGAGATCCCGTCACTCCACCAGTGATCCCACTTCCTATTGGTCCACTAATGATTGGCTGGGGACGCCCTGCACCCCGCACACTGTCCGACCTGCTGTTGGCTTAACTGTGACAGTCAAGCTCAAATTCTCTAAATCTACCATGTAGAGTTTTTATATCTACGGTATAGCTACCAGACCAACCCAATACAGTTAGCCTCTCGCAATCCTACCACAATATCAGCCACAGACATTTTTAACAGTAATAAGTTGATGCCGTTACACAAGGTGTGGTGAGGCAAGGTATGGTAAAAAGTGATGTTAAAATACAGCTTTTGTTTGTGGATTTTACAGTGTATCTAAGCCCTGTAGAATACAGGGCCTCAGAGGCAATACACTGGCTTGGATCAGCAGTGCTTAGGGACCACGGTTGCCGGAACGGAACTCGGCGTCCTGAAGCAATCCGAAGTCCCGGAAAGCCGAGCGCTAAGGCCAGTGCCCTGCAGCGGTCTGTAAAGGTTCAATCAATATACTGGTTCACCACACTTATCAGTGCCTCACAAGCCGATATTACAGTGATTATCTTCTATATATTACAGGGCGCCGTCCCTGTAATCCACCTTCCTTCAGTGCCTCGGCAACTGTCGAATGCTGCAGTCAAAGTCTTCTTCGCTCTCAGTGTACTGCGCCGATAGCTATTCGAGCCTATATTCTACAGGCCTCAATAGCACCTATTTCAACATATATTAACTACTACGAAAAATAAGTATGGCTAACATAACTAACATTTCTCTGAGGTTAGTATAGTAAGCACATTGTAGATCTAAAACTTCTACACAGTAGATTTAGAGATTTCGGTCAAGCAAATCCTTCTCTCCACAGCGGGAGCTTGTGCGCTGGATCTCATCACCCCGATACGCGATGCCTCAGCCCAACCAACATATCACACATCCCTTACAAAACACTCTCAAACAACTATAGCAACCCAGATCTGTTCAGAGTGCCATCACCGCCGCTAAAACCGCCACTCCCACACCAGCCGCCTGCTTCACGGCGCCGGAGTCCTTGACCACAACTTCTATATCTAGGCCAGCTGTAGATAGAGCCGTCGGTTGAGGCCCCGCGCCACGCGTTGTCGAAGTCTCCTCCGCCTCTACAAAACGCTCAGGGTCAAGAGCTTTCCACAAATCATCCCCAGCCCCCGTGACCACAAGGGTGTTTGTCGAGGGCGTAGATGTGGATGTCGAGGGCGTAGATGTGGATGTCGAGATCGTAGTTGTGGTGGCCGATGTAGCGTCCTCCGGCGCGACTCCAGGAGTCGCAGTAGCAAAAGACAGCGAAGTGATCGGTCTGGTGGAAACACCAGGAGCCATCGAGACATACCCCCCCTCTGGACAAATCTTGCACTTCCCCTCGGGAGGGCTTTGCGCGTATTGGCCGTAGGCATAATAGCAATTCTGCTCCTGCCGCTCGCAAACGTAGCGCTCGATCGAACCATAACATACCGTCAGGTCAGGCGTGGTGTCCTTGTCGTCCTTGCACCTGCAGATGAAGCAGTAGGTGATCCACTCAAACGGGCTATCGTAGCCATCATTGTTGGAGAAACACCCGTTTCTCCAGTCTACCGAGCCGCCTCTTGTGCTGCAATATGCTTGGCATGTTGAGACCTGGTTGGGGCAGACGTTGTTTCCTGACGGGTGCACTTGTTAACGACCGTCAAGGTTACCAAGACACAAGGCAAACATACCAAAGCTCATGCTGCCTCTCCCAGGTTGAGACCGCTTGGGGGGCGTCAGACACGTCCATCCCTCCGCCTCTTAAAAATCCCAGTCGAAAGGTTTCAACGATGTGGTGGCTGAAAGTACTCCGGTAATCCCATACACGGTGGCCACGAGGCCGGCGACAGATGGGAAATGCATGGCGGAACAGCGATGGTGCTGAGACGAAAAGGGGTTCAAAGAAGAGAGCGCAAGACGCCAAAATAAAGGTTTCTGCGATGACAATCGTGGGGGTCGCATTCGATAGCGAAGAAGAAGCTATCGAATCGGATCCCCACCCTTACAGCCCAAAGAATGGATCTTTGGCGCGTTGGCTCCGCAGCAGGGGCCTTGTGCGCGGGACGTCAGGGGGTAGCCTCGTTGAGCGACAAATCATCGTGATGTAGCGGTCGAGCCTCCAACTTGGCGTTGACACGGCGTGGCATTTTCGTGACGAGGACCGAGATGCCGAAATTGCATCAGCTGTGGGCAAAAGACCTTGTATTTGAGAATGTATGGTGAAAAGAACAACGGCAGTTGCCCTGACGAGTTAGATCACTACTGCCGCCGCCACAATAACGCCAACGACACCAGCTGCTGTTTTCATCGCTCCAGAATCAACCACTGGTTCCTCAGTGGGCGACGGTTGACTTGCTTTGTCCACGGTTGACGCAGGCTGACGGGTAAGGGAGGTGGTTGGGCTCTCCAAAGCTGATTCTGGCATGCTCGATGCCGTGCTTGAGGTCCCAGCTGATGTGGCAACCTCGGAGATGATTTGAAGAGGCCTGACCTCGAGACTTCCATTCGGCAACCTGGCGGTGGCGGATGCAACCGAAGAGGAGGTAATGGGGCTCGCAATGAAGCCAGAATCGGTGGTGGCAACCTTGGTATTGCAGACGTCGTCGGGGAACCCAAGTCGACGACACATGTACTGAGCAAGAGAGCCGGAATATTCAGCAACGGGATTTGGACCCGCGTCTTCCTGGCATTTACACGTAGTGCAGTAATTAATCGACCGTGACGGGTCGTCCTCGCCATCGTTATCGGATATACACACATTCTCGTCGGCCCTGGTACCGCCTCTGGTGCTGCAGAAGGCCTGGCAAGTGCGAACTTGGTCGAGGCATAGGGTGTTTCCTGCAGACGAAAGTGTGAGTAATAAGTATCTCTAGGTTCACGGTGAAGCAGACGAACCAAAGGGTGGGTTCCAGTCTGTGCCAGAACCTATACGGGACCGATCAGGCCGTACGCAAAACCATCCATCGTTGTGGTAGTTGATGTACCACAGATCCGTGTCTTGGGAAGTGTCTTCCGGGGCAGGGGAAGAGGTTACCCCAGTAATGGCGGATGCGACTGCCACCAGGCGCAGGATTGCCGTGCTGGAATGCATGTTTGTTGAGTGCTGGAGAGGAGAGAGAGCAGAAGAGAGGAAGATGCAGTTGACAAAGTGAAATGAGCGAGAGGCAGCACGATGTTGACAGAACTACCTTCTTTAGTGCGTGGAGGCTGAGGGGACCGCTAGACCCCTCAAGGGACCTCGGCCCGGCACAGGGTCTTGGTCGTGAGTTCTTGGTCGAAAAAAAAAATCAATTCGCTTTCCACAATCCAACCTCAGCTTCCCAGGTATCTACCGTAAATACTCAGTTCAATCATTGCTCCTTCTCGCCAGGCCACAGGTCATACCCAAACGTGTCCTTCATATTCACAAACCGCACATGCCGTCCCCTCGCAACATCCTCAATAGCATTGAACTCCTTGTCGGTCAGCTCGGGAATCTGAAAGTTGCTCTCGATGCGGCTCGGCGTGGAACTCTTGGGCAGCACAATGTAGCCCCTACGAAGACCCCAAGCAAGTAACACCTGCGCGAGGTTGTGCCCGCTGTGCTTTGCCACCGCATTGAGAGCCGCGTTCTCCCTGACAGTCTCTCCTGTTGATGGCACCTGGTTCTGCGAGCCGAGCGGTGAATAGGCCGCTGGCAAGATGTCGTTCTTGAAGCAGAACTCAATGAGCTCCGTGTTGGGGAGGAAGGGGTGAATCTCGATCTGGTTGACAGCCGGCTTGATGCGCGCAAGCTTGAGAAGCTGCTCAAGACGTGGAATCGTCCAGTTAGACACACCAATGGCTCTCGCCTTGCCACTGTCGGCCAGCTCCTCCATCGCCCGCCATGTTGGCTCCGGGTTCTCGGTCAGCTCCTTATTGATGACGTATTTCCCATCCGGGCCGATCTTAACGGTGTGATCTGGGTTCTTCTCGGCGGCGATGGGCCAGTGCACGAGGAAGAGATCAATGTAGTCCACCTTGAGCTTCTCGCACGAGTTTTGGAAGCTCCATTTGACGTCCTCGGGCTCGTGGAGGTGGTTCCAGACCTTGGTGCAGATGAAAATGTCCTTGCGCGTTACGCTAGGGTTCTTGGCGAGGAAGTCTTGGATTGCATCACCAACCTCGTCTTCGTTGAGGTAGAACCACGCGCAGTCGAGATGTCGATAGCCCACCTCGAGGGCCTTGATGACGGCTCTGTAGGTTTCTCCTTTGGCTCCCTCGTTGGCAAAGGTGCCGAAGCCGACTGCAGGGATCTTGACGCCGTTGTTGAGGGTGTATGTCTTGGATGCCATGGTTGTCGTTGTTGTTGTCGGTGATGGTCTCAGATACTCTCCCATGATCTTTTTGAGTGTTGACAGTTGACAGTAAAAGAAACGAACAAAGCTCAAGAAGTTACATGTACCCCCTGAGTCCAACTCGGTCCAGGGGACAGCGCACAATAATAAATCCCAATCAGCGACAGTCCATCCCGCAGACTTGGAACCACCCACGTGCGCGAATTTTCGCCTTACAAGCGACCCTTCAATACCTTAACTTTTTTTTTTTTTTTTGCTGGTTCGGATGAAAGCTGACACTGCACTGTGACACGTCCAGAATTCCGAGTCTGAGGCGACTGCTGACCCCTACCTCCAGCTAATGTGGTTCCACAAAGTGACGCATGGTCATCCAACGGGCTCCACACGGCCTTGTTTTGGAGCAAGCAGTTGACAAGAGTGACATGAGTGGCATTATGCATGACAGTGCCGCGGCGACGCTAGAACTTTTCCAAACTCCAGCCACTCAGGACCATCTCACATCTTCTCACCGCCGGCTTCCCACCATCTTCCCACTATCTCACAAGCTCCCACCACTGACCCGACAAATGATGGAGGGGGGTGAGATCGGCAAGCAGCCGAGTCATGTCGGCAAGGAGCCTCAGCTTTCCCTAGCGGTGTAACCCCATTTTTTCCGTGCGGTTGGGTCGCACCGGACGGACAATTACGGGCATGAACCCTGGCCGCGGCTCTTGGGGCCGCCGTGAGCGCCGTGGTCGTTAACATCAAGTTCGGGGACGCGGAGGCAAAAACAGCACGGATCCGGGCCCCGCCGACCGCCCCGCTGCTGTCCCGCCTGATTTTTGCGGGTTTCTATGGAGCTGGCGATGGAGTCAATGACAACATTGATACGGGGAACACACAGGGACACGCAGGGTTGTCAGCATCAAACAACCATCAACAACGTCTGCCAAACCTCCGAGATCCCCTCTTATCAGTGGCCACCCTCAGCCACCCACCAGTCGGGCGGCGACATCTGGATACGCTCTGGATACAAGACCCGCTTGTCATGGCTTGGTCGTACGAGTCGGGAAATCCGATCAAAAGACAACAATGCGCCAATCCTGTCCTCAGGGTCTTCTTCCGCTGTTTCAGAAACCGCATCTTCGGCACTCGTAGAGCTTACATCACTGGACCCCTGTGGAGATCCCCTCAAGAGTTTTCACCTGCATCTCCATTTACGACGTCATACTGGAGCACGTCTTGGTGGGTTTTGGCTTGGGATGACCGAGCATGGCGCCGTTCGACGATCGTCTCCGGTCGGTTCTCGCGGTTGAGAAAATCGAAACAGACGGCCGAGGATGGTGTGTGGATGGAGGACAGCGTAGTCGTAGAGGCGATATAAGAGCTTTCTCCTTCTCCCCAACGGCTGGCTGGTCTGTTTCAGTATTGCCGACATCTTGTCTACCTCTCCATCCAACCGTTTCACCACAGCCTTTTAGAGATACTCTGATGCAAAGCACATCTACCATCTATCTTCTTTGTTCATCTTACGACTAAATTTCAGAACCGCCCATCATGTCCGGAGCAGGAGGCCCAGCGTTCAAGGACGTCGACTTTTCCAAGTCCATCCAGACACCCCCCGACTCTCCCGGCAAGCCAAAGAGCAAGTTCACACACAAGAAGACGGAGAGCTGGAGCAAGCACTTCCAGAATGGCAACAGGAGAGATGGCAGTTGGGCCAGCGTCGAGAACAAGATGGCTATCCCAACCTCGCCAGGTTCGCACAACACCATCGAGGTGCCTGCCTTGAGGTCGCCTGATGCCGATGCTTCCCAGTACATGCACAACCTCTCCGTGTCACCATCGCAGAAGGAGCGGAGACTTTCCCGCAACTCGTTCGGTGCTGCCCTCCCCATCCCTCGCTCCAAGCGCCAGTCTCGCTTGAGCAGCGTCACGTTCCCCGATGTCCAGGAGGCCCTGAGAAATGCCTCCAAGGAGAACCAGCGTCCCGGCATGCCCCCAATCCAGCCCACCAGAGAAATCCTGGTTTCTCAGGTCCAGGACGTCCAGTCCGACAAGGTCAAGCTGGCCAAGAACATGGCCTTTGTCTTTGACATTGACGGTGTCCTGGTGCACGGTGACCGCCTGATCCCCGAGGGCAAGATGGTCCTCGACATGCTCAACGGCAACAACCAGCTCGGCATCAAGATCCCCCACATCTTCCTCACCAACGGCTCCGGCAAGCCCGAGCTGGCCCGGACAGAGCAGCTGTCCAAGATCCTCCAGAACCCCGTCAACACGGAGCAGTTCATCCAGTCGCACACCCCCATGCGCGCGTTGGCCGAGTACTACAACACCGTCCTCGTCGTCGGCGGTGAAGGGTACAAGTGCCGCGAGGTGGCCGAGCAGTACGGCTTCAAGGACATCATCGTCCCCAACGACATCGTCGCCTGGGACGAGTCCATCGCCCCCTACCGCGTCTTCACCGACGAGGAGCGCGCCTCCGCCCGCCCGAGGGACTTTTCCAAGGTCAACATTGACGCCATCATGGTCTTCTCCGACTCGAGAGACTATGCCACTGACATGCAGATCATCATGGATTTGCTTGTCAGCGAGAATGGCCGGCTCGGCACCGTAGCCAAGGACCCCGTCTCCCAGCGGATCCCCATTTACTTCTCCCAGGGCGACTTCCTCTGCCCGACCGAGCACCCCCACCCTCGCATGTCGCAGGGCGCGTTCCGCATCGGGCTCGAGGCCATGTACAAAGCCCACACGGGCGTCGATCTGGAGCGTGTGGTTTATGGCAAGCCCGAGCTGGCGACGTACAAGTACGCCGACGAGGTGATCGCCTCGTGGATGGACGTCCTTCATGGGGAGGAGAGGATCCCGGAGAACATCTACATGATTGGTGACAACCCGGCGTCGGATATTGTGGGGGGAAACATGTACGGGTGGAACACTTGCCTGGTCAGGACGGGTGTTTTCCAGGGCGGGGAGAATGATGAGGAAAACCCGGCTAATTTCGGGGTGTTTGCTAATGTTTGGGAGGCGGTGACGGCGGCGTGCAGGAAGCAGTTGGGGGATGATTTCAAGTTTAAGTGGGATGATCGGGTGAATCCGGTGTTGCATGGGAATCAGTCTGCTATTCACTGAGCGATGTGAAGTTTTGGGAGGCATGATTGATATTTTTGGGGGGCGGTGGTGTATGGGTGTAGTAGATAGATACCAGCTCGCAAGGGCACATAGTTTTTGACTATTCTTTTGTTTGTCTTTCGTTTTGTGGGGATCTTGTACTTTAGATGCATGGCCTAGATGGTTGGTGTTTTGGTGTGCTCAAATTCAGGATATTTCATAAGTATTGATGGTCGAGTGGTGATATTTGTGAATGCTGCGATGTGATTATGCGTATCGTGATGGGAATTGTGATGAGAGCTCCCAGTGTGAAGTGAAATCGTGGAGTATCCAACAGCGAGAAATTACAGTGAGAAATCGGGCATGTCCATAGGTTTTCAGGTGGCTGTTCACATGACATGCGAGTGAATGGCTTGTTTTTATGATGAGAAGATGTGTATAGACCGTTCTTATCTGAGAGACCTTCATCAGGCATTCATTGTAAATGAGGAGGAATACTTGGGTGTGCTTGAATCACCCTTGAGTCTCTCGGCTTGAGAGGATGCCTGCCCCCCATCGCACACTCGGAGCCGTGTTGACCGAATGCCCGGTTGTTGAAGAGCCCCTTGCCCGCCGAGTCCCCGCCACACCTCGAGAGGAGGCGAGGGGTCCTGGACTACCTAGTCCCTGCAGACATCGAGGGGTAGACATTACCATCAATTCTATTTCCATCTCTCTCGCCATTCCTCTCCTATCTCAAAAACGTCCAAGCCCTCCACCAACTCCTCCGGGCCGCCGACGTGACCGACCACTTGCTTGCGAGCATTGCGAGCAAGACCCGTTAGAACTACAGGTATGCGCATTCGCATCTCCCGGCTATCCCATCCTCTTAGATCCATCTGCCCTTCCTCATTTCTCCTCCTCCTATGATCCTGTTGCCCACAGCACACCCTCGTCCGATGGTCCCTCCAACCTCGGCACCATCCGATCCTTTCCATCGATCTATGTTTGGACGACAACTAACATTCGACTGACACAGGAGCCGTCCTCGCGGGAAAACCAGAAGCAGCCAGGGTGGATGACTGCATCTTTACCATCCTTAGCATCATTATCGACGATTCCTATCCTGTAAGTCGCTTCATCTACCCCTCGTCCCATCAATTCGACTATTGGGTCGAACAAACGCGTCCAATTGGCTGACTAGTTCGTCTCAACCCAGATCTAGACATATCGTTACTGCGGCTGCTGTCGAAATTTCTACATGCAATGAGTGTAGAAAATAGGTGAGAACATTGTTCGATTGATTTGGGTGCTCGAGGCGGTGGGTAACAGGCCTATGCAGGTCCCTCTACAACTCTGGCATTGTTCCCCCCCATCCGGGGGGAGGACACAAGACACTTCCCACAAGCCAGCTGTCCCGGCTTACCTAGCGTGAGTTTCATCCTGTTTGATCCGAGTGTCGATGATTTTGCTAACGGCGATGGTGTTCAGTCGAACAAGCTGGCACGACCAGGCTACGGTGAACATGTTCTCGACCAGCTGTATGAGTACATGGATTCGATGGGTCGGTCGGGGCATATCCATTGCCGGTCGTTTCTTCCATGTCGACTTGTTCGGCATCGTGCCATCTATCGTCTTGACCTGTGGAACCAAAAGGACATCCTACACACAGGGTAGGCCGGGTGGTATATATCTCTACACTATCAATGACCGCTTCCTGTCGGTCAGGATTGTCTTGCTCGGCAAGCTTGAGCTTGTTTCTAATGGCTCTCGATAGGATGGATGAAAACTTCATCAAGAATGTTTTCAGCAACACCTCATCGGGGGAGTTCTAATCATGCTACAACCACCAAAGCCTTGATCTCTTTTCTCTTCTACGCTTGGGCGTTCAGGCACGCAATGAGCGACTGTTCACAATCGAGCCGGGCTTCCTTTGTGACGGGACTCTCCTTGCGGGGCCGGATCATCATCTCGTCCATCGATACCTCTGATCCGACGTGATCACCGGTCAGCGGCCCACAGAGCCCAACCTTTGGCGCTGGAGGCGTGGCCTCACTCGCTATCTTGGGCCCCGCTGTTGTCGTGGCCCAGGGTGTCAGCGAGAAATTGCTCCGACTGTGATCGGTGCCGCTGGCTGTGAGCCCAGCACTGCCGGGAAGTTCGTGATTGCGACTGTGGATGCCGAAGAGAGACTTCATCGAGGACAACATTGCCTGGGCATCTTCCCAATCCTTTGGTCACACCCCGGAGTCAAGAAGCGGCCATTGGGGAGGTGAACAGTGTGGGTCCCTTCTGGGGGATGGTTGAGAATGGAGTCTTGGTGTTTGGTGGTACACATCGTTGTTGGTGAAGTGTGAGTCCTGCCTAGCCTTGCAAAGTCTTCTATCCAAACCCGGTTTCTTTGAAGGCGTCACATCCACGTTATTTCATTTTGCTAACCGTGACTAACAACGCAGCGCGTTATTGTTGGGCCCTGTCTCCCATTCGACCAGAGAGGTTTCGAGCGCGATCGTCTGGAGTCTCTCCTCCTTGCAACCCAGCGAAGCCCACGATTGCATCCAAGCACAGGGTCCCTTCAACCAGAGCCGCCGCTCTATCTACGTTACCGTTTCCGTCAGCGGTAATGTCGAACCTCGATATAAGCCGCTTGGAAGGGCTGCAGCTGCTTCGCCAGTCAGTCAAGCCAACTACAGTCGTTTGCAGGCGCCTTCATCAAGAGAACGGACCAAACTACAAGATCAGCTGACGGTCGTATTCGTTCGGCTGCCAACGACGCAGACCACGACACGGACTTTCTCCGTCAGTACGACCTGCCGCTCAGTCTCTGAGCAGTTGGAGCTATAGCTATGGGGTGTCGAGTTTGAAACGATGGAGACCCCCACTTATGCCATCAACAACCGTGCTGGCATGCTCCTCCGTGGCCATCGTCTGACTGTTCAGCGTAAACAGTCAAAGTTCGCCAACACTCGCCTTGCCACCCGATACATCGGCAACATTGAGCTGGCCGAGGTCAACAAAACTGCGCCTCACCACGATACTCAAGTCGCCATTCGTCGTGATAACTTGACGGGCCAAGTTTATAACGGCCCCAACAGCACAGCCAACGCGTTGGCTCGCCACAACAACAGCCCTGCCACGTACAACCAGGCTGGATGTGAAGAATCAGCGAGTGCGTTTCCGAACGCTGGTCTTGACAGAGCCAGGCAAAATCATCAATTCCGCCTCCTGGCTTTTGGTTTCTCGTCTCGTCCAGCAGCGAGCTGCGATGTCTTGTCGTTTCCGAGCGGAGACCTGGTGACCATAGTCAGGCGACGAGAAGCCGAGTCGCCTGCAGATGCCTCCTTCGAGCGAGCGCAAGACCCCATAGTGCCCCGGCCATCCAAGCAATCGTTGATTGTCGAGGTCGCTTCGGAACGAATCGAAGAGACTCCCGCTAGCTTGAGCGGCATACACACAACAAGGCTGGTTCTATGACCTTCTTCCTAACCAGATCTATCTACCAGCGTTCCAACAACAATGTCAAGCCTTTTGTCACTCGCTCGCAACATGACGCCACGAACGTTCGCAAAACAAGAGCCAGCCCTTCTTCGACGGGTTCCGAAACTCACGGGATATCATAGAGTCGATGTGCGTTTGGGTATGTGGAACCAAAAGGACATCCTACTCACAGGGTAGGCCGGGTGGTATATATCTCTACAGGGCATCTGATCCGGATTCTGAAATCTGTCGCCGGTTACCCAGGTAGCGGCGATCTGCTTTCAAGCCGTCCGCCAGAAGCCCGACGCACCCAACCCTTAGCACGTGTTTCGCTGAGGAGACGGCAACTACGGCAAGGTGTACAACTTTCCCATGAAACCCTGGATCACCATCAATCTTCCAGAGACGGATGAGTGTTCCGCCATCCTTGACATATCTCGGCTTGAGAGGAGTCGCTGGGCTGGCAGGTTGGTTGAATGGGAATCATGAGCGAAGGTGGAGGGGTAAGAGTCCCTTTCGCTGCATAATGTTCTTCGACAAACCGATTCAACGTGTCCCAAACGTTGAACAACAACAACAACAACAACAACAACAACAACAACAACAACAACAACAACAACAACAACAACAACAACAACAACAACAACAACAACAACAACAACAACGCCGACGAGAACGATGAAAAGATGTCGCACGGAGGCAACAAACCCATGAGGGGCTTCGGTGGTGGGGTGGTAGGGAGGGACAGAGGGAGGGAGATTGGCACAGGTGGCCACCAGCCGGAGCGATGAAAAGGATGTGGGCTTGGAAGAAGATTGGGCCAGGTTAGGCGTGCCGGATGTGTTGTAAATAGTGATATCCTCTTCAGTGCAATTGTCAGGCATCGTATCTCTTATCTCCTGTAACTATTATTGTACAATAGCCATAGCTAGTTTTCATTCTTTTCCTCTATCATGTACAACAGCCACAGCTAGTTTTCATATTTCTTCAATAGTCACTATTTGGGAAAGCCAGTCTGGAGTCGTTGAGTTGCCGTGATAAATATTGTGACATTGACATTGACAAGACTGAGCGAAGTATGGCATGGAGCACGAAGACTCAAGTCTGACCCGAGGATTGTGACTGGAAATAAAAGTGGCACCCGTCGAATGCAGGTACACACTCGGTCCTTCCCGCGTGTAATTGCTGAGGGGAACCACCCAATCACACTTTCCCCCAACTTGTTTAGCCGTTGAACGACGACATCCAGCACTCAATGCCAAACAGTACCAGGCGACTCGTAGCCATGACCATTGGAAATCGAAGAGTGTCAACTCGGTGACAGATGTGACACCGCCGGTTATGATGGCAGTATGTATATTTCCCCCAACATCTCTTTCGCCCCAAATCCTCACCCTCCACCACCCAACCTCCTCACCACCACGATGAAGTCCCTCCTCCCACTAACCCTCCTCCTCCTAGGAGCCCGCGCCTCCTGCCCCCGCTCCCTCCTGAAAGCCCTCACCGCCGCCTACGTGGAAGCCCAAACCGTAGGAAACCACTCCTTCATCTCCACCCTCGGCCGATCCGCCCCCAACTTCCTCTACATCGAAAACAACGCCGTCCTCGGCGACCTCTCCCACTCCTCCCTCGCCGTGCCCATCAATCCCGACTTCCACAGGTCGATACACGATGTCGAGCAGTGCGCTTCCGTCACTGAGATCATTGCCGCTACGCAGGAACATCCGTATGTTTTGCACACGCGGATTATCTGGCAGGCTACACCCGATAATCTAGCGGTCACGGGAATAAGCCTGATTGAATCGGTGGTTACAGACGAGGGGGACTGGCTTTTTAACGCGACTGGGACGTTGGATCTGAATAAAGGGGAGAAGTGGGATGTTATTCCGCTGGCGGCGCGGGAATCGAGGGAACAGATACAGAAGCTGGGGGATTGGTATTTTGATCGGTTTGGGGATGTGGGGAGGGGGGATGTACCGTGGCATGCTGAGCCTTGCTATCGGTTGGAGGGGGGATTGCCGGCTAGGGGGACGAAGAAGGGGGAGGATTGTATCCATGTTATGCCGGGGGGGATCAAGGTGCCGTATAGACGGTATGTGGTTGATGAGGAGATGGGAACGGTGGATGTTTTTATGGGTTTTCCTGGGTTGGATAGGACGCAGGGACAGGCGCCGATGCCAGATAGCCATCTTTTTAGGGTGGAGGGGGGGAAGGTGAGGTATTGTCATACTGTTAGTGCTTGCGTTGAGAGGGGGTGTGGGATTGGGGAGATAGAGTGGCCAGAGAGGAGGTAGAGGGGGATGTTCTTGGGTGGGAACATGAAAGATAAACGAGTAAGGAAACAGACTACAAATTAGGGTCAATGTCTCGTATTCACAGTCCGAGCTTTTCTTCCAGAGACAGACCCTCGGTGACTCATTTCTATATCGCCAAAGATCACCGCCTAAACCTCTCATCCCACAACTCCTTATCGTCCCAGCAAAAAGCATCTGTGCTGTCATGATATGCCGACAAGATCTGTCGCTGTATCTCGTGCTTGCGTGGCTCTGATGCCGCTTTGGACGCCAGCACTATACCCTCCATCTTCTCAACCCCGCCTTCACGCGACTTCACCGGCGCCCTGTCCCGCACCACGAAACAAGAATTGTTCTCCTTATCAACATCCATGGCGTCCTCGACCAACTTCAACTCGCGCATATCACCGGCCAGAGCCTCCTCCCGGTTGTCGAAATCATGCCAGATGTTCTCGCCGTCGCTCCCGGCGAAGGAGACCCGACGCGACGGGACCCTCCCCTCTAATTCCTTGACCCTAGCGACGATGAGCAGCTTGATTGCCTGTCATCAACTAGTGTTAACAACCAAGTCCAAGGCATCACCGCATCTATTTGTTTGCTCTCACCAACGAAGAGGCTCAGGTGCTGGGAGAATGGCCATTCACCTGACCGAGACGTCTCCTCTCGCAGATCACAACACAAGCTGAACCACCCGGAATCTGTGTCCCCTTTGACAACAGCCCTGACAAGAGAAACTCACCTCCTCAAACCGCATCCTCCTTCCCCCCCCCCCCCCACCG